AGTCCCAATTTAAAATGTACTCTTAATTTTTTTTTTTAAAAAAAAGAGCCTGTTTTATCAAAAGCTCAATTGAATTTGTTATAGAAACTTACGTCTGAAATTCGACAAAAATTAAATAAATAGATTTGAAAGAACAAGTTCAAAAATTTTTGATGCTAAAAAAAGGAAAGAATAATCGAAATCCTCATAATTTGAAGGAAAAAAAATTGTCAGTAATTTCTTCAAAGCCTGAAAACGAAAATTCTGAAATTTAATTGGAGGGGTCCTAGATTTGCCTAGACCTGATCCCTTGCTCCTGCATATGGAACAAATTTCTTCATAAAATGTCTCTTAGTTAAAAGAAGAAAAAAAGTAATAATGCTGAACTGTTTTAACCGTCAAAATATGCGACTAAAGTCTTATAACATTCGAGTTTGTCGAAAGACGAAACAATCTTGTCACAAAATATTCTTGTTCAGTTCTAGACTTTTTAATAAAATTATCTAACAGAATATTAATATTGAAGCTAATTAAAACCATACAACTAACTGTCATAAAGTGTAACGGTTTTCAGATAATGAGTTACAGTTAAAGAAAAAAAAAAGATATAAATATTTTTAAAGCGTTTATAAATTTTTTATATATCGTTTTTTTTATCGATGCTAAATTGTTTCTTTGACTAATTTCAATCAATTTGTTGTTTCTACATATTAGTTTTAAAGTAAGAAATGTAACTGCATAAACCTTTGAAAAAGATAAAGGTTTTTTGAAATTCTTGATTGATTAAAATATCTGCATTAACCCTAATAAAAACTTCCGCTTTTTTAAGATCTGAGTTGACTTTCATAATCTTAATAATACCTGTATTTCACTGTTTTGCTTGATTTACCTGCAAATTTTTTTCCTCGTAAGTCAAATTTACAACAACTAAAACACTAAAAATTAACTTAATATGTATAAAAGTACAAAAAACTAAAAAGTAGATATAATTTTGTTATTGTACCTAGCTACGTTAAAATTTTCAGGTGGAAGGCTTTATGAATAGAATTGATTATCAAATCACACTTTTCACACAGAGTTTTCACAATATATGACGTTCTCTAACATATATATGGAGATGTTTCCGTATTGGTTAAGGTAAATATTGCTATGCTTATTAGAATTCCATTTTATAGTTATGGAACAAAAAATGTACTTAAAATTACATATGACTATAAGCGTTTCTAATTACGTAAATTAAAATCTTTATAGAGTAGATTTTACCAATAAGATAACTTATCAAGTCACACTTTGCATTCCGAGTTCTCGCAATATGATGTTTTTTTAACAGATATCACAGGATATGTTAATCCGTATTTCTGAGTCAACATTGCTGTGTTTTTTAGAACTTCATTTTGAAATTATAGAACCATAAATAAACTTTGTAATTATGATTATGTTATTGTCTCTAGCAACATTACAATCTTTAGAGAGCATTTTCTATCTATAGGATTACTTATCAAGTCACAGTTTGTATTTCAAGTTATTACAATATAGCATTCTTTGACAAATATCACTGGAGATTTTTCCGTATTCGTCTGAGTCAATATTACTGCGTTTATTAAACTCCAATTTGAAGTTGTAGAGCAAAAAAGAATGAACTTAAAAGTAATAATAAGCTTTGAAATTATGATTATGTTATTGTCTCTAGCAACATTACAATCTTTAACGAGCAGGTTCTATCTATAGGATTACTTATCAAGTCACAGTTTGTATTCCAAGTTATTACAATATGGCATTCTTTGACAAATATCACTGGAGATTTTTCCTTAATCGTCTGAGTCAATATTACTGCGTTTATTAAACTCCAATTTGAAGTTGTAGAACAAAAAAAAATGAACTTAAAAGCAATAATAAACTTCGTAATTATGATTATGTTATTGTCTCTTGCAACATTACTATCTTTAGAGAGCAGGTTCCATCTATAGGATTACTTATCAAGTCACAGTTTGTATTCCAAGTTATTACAATATGGCATTCTTTGACAAATATCACTGGAGATTTTTCCGTATTCGTCTGAGTCAATATTACTGCGTTTATTAAATTCCAATTTGAAGCTGTAGAACAAAAAAAAATGAACTTAAAAGTAATAACAAACTTTGTAATTATGATTATGTTTTTGTCTCTAGCAACATTACAATATTTAGAGAGCAGGTTCTATCTATAGGATTACTTATCAAGTCACAGTTTGTATTCCGAACCCACTCCCACAGAAGTGGACTGCGAATCCCACTTCTGACACCAAATGTAAATGCCTTGGTTACCATTAATAAAGTCAATCAAGACATTTAATGATTATGCTTATTCTTTAATGATAACATGAGTCACACAGAGTCTTAAAACAATTAAGATCGAACCACACAGATTCTCAGTTTCACACAGAAACATTTAGTTGATAGATAGATAGATAGATATTTAACTTCTGGTACCGAAATCACTATTTATTATGTGTATTATAATGCCATCTGTAGGCATTTTTTGAAACTAATATTCAAAATTTCTGTATAAAATTTTTGCAATTTTCACAATAAACATACTACTTGTTTTATTCATCTATTGCCCTTTGTTTCCAAGATTTTGTATTTTGATATCAGTTAGTGCTCTGCTAATCTTTGTTGATAACCTTTGTTGGCTTTACTGGCTTGATTTTATTATTTACGCCATACTAAAGCACTAATGAGTTATTGCTAATTATTTTTGGATATATACTGGTGCATGCTTGAAAAACACTTCCACAATTTAGACAGTAATCCTTCGGTTTCCGTACCTTGCGCTCTTCAACCATCCAACCATGCACGGACTTTCAGTTATAATTCGAAACTGAGAGGCAAATTTCACTTAAGAGGAAGCTATATGACCTGAGAAACACTTCATGGCAAATTCTTTTACACCTGCATAAATAATTTAAAATTTGAACGTAAAGGAAAAAGGAATTAAGAAAAATCTAGAAAAATCTACGAAATTTGAAATGATGAAGGAAAAAAAAATTCGAATATCAAAATGCAAACAAATTATGTCTGGTTTGGATTGCGTAGAAGAGAAGTTATCTTGTAGTAATTTGTTTTTATTTTGTTTTTGTTTAAAAACCTTTCCAGCTTTTTACACAGAATTTGCCATTAAAAGTTTCTCCCGCTATATAGCGTCTTCTTCAATGAAATCTGAACTGGCAAGAAAGTGCAGAGCGCAGTTCAATTAGACATGCAACTCTTTATAATGAGTAACCTAGATGATTTCTGAAATTTGAAAAGCAAAGGAGATATCCCCAACTAACGCTTGTTACTTATGTTACCTTTGTTACTTATCCCCAACTAACCCTTGTTACCTTTGTTACTTATATTAGTATAGAGAGGAGTAGAAGGATTTCGTGAACGTTATTTAATATAAGTTATAATAATATTTTTTTTTTATTTCCGTCACTATAACAACATATCATATTTTATTTCATTTCGAAAATAATATCTTATAATGACTTCTAATAAAGCGAATGAATAAGTTAGAGATTAAAGGAATGAGTAAGTAAGTGGATGAAATAATAGAGGGAAACAAATTTGAATGGACAACTGAGTTTAGAAACAAGAAGTTTACAAACATGTAATTCGCAGCAAGGGCAATCAATGTTCATAATTGTATTTTTTCCCTTCGAAATGTTATACTATCGATTTGTGCCTACCTATCTTCCATTATTTAAAAAAATCACCTATTTTAACAGAACTTATACAAAGTTAAATGTTTTCAATACTTAATAAATTGAAAAAAATAATTTTAAAAAACGTGCTTTTTTGCACAGAGTAACTAAATTTCACATTTATGTGCTAAAAGTTTTTCATTCATGTAATTAATTCATAAGATATTACGAAAACACAATAAATGAAAGTAATTTCACATAAACGCCATTTATAATCAGTGTCTCATGAAATTATTAAACCTCTTTCAGATTTTGGTTAGTATCCACTTTTTTATGTATTGAGGAATTCATCGAATAAAAAAATACATTTCATTTGGAAAAAATACCTTGCTGTTTCAGATTTCGTATCCCAAATACTATATCAGAATATATTTATGGTGAGACTCCTAAAATACTAAAGTATCAACAATATAAGTGTTATAATGTTCAGTAGATAAAAAATCATTTTAGGAATAAATTGTAATTTCACCCAAAAGTGTAAATTGAATCAGTAGTTTTTCTCTTTTTCTCCCTGCTATTTATTTATCTCCCAGTAATTGGGGCCTGGTCTATGAAATAAATTTCTGTGGTGTGTAATTTTATCCAAAAGTGCAATTTGATCCAGTAATTACTTATTTTCCCTCTGCTATTTACTAAGCCTCCAGCATTTGAAGTCTGGTCTTTTTAATAAATTTCTAAGATTTTTAACTAGATCGAATAGTTTTTTACTTGCTTGTTCCCTATTATATTTATTAATCCTCCAGTGTTTGGTGTAGTCTATGAAATAAATTTCTGTGGTTTGTAATTTAATCTAAAAGTGTATAATGATTCAGTAGTTTTCTATGTATTTTTCTCCTGCTATTTATTAATTCTCCAGTATTTGAGAGTCTGGTCTATGAAATAAATGTCTGATTAGTAATTTAATCCAAAAGTGAAGATTGATTTAGTAGTTTTCTAGTTTTTTCCCCCTTCTACTATTTATCCCCCAGTATGATTTGGTCTATGAAATGAATTTTTATGTTTTTTAATTTGACCCAAAATTATAAATCAATCCAGTAGTTTTCTACTTATTTTTTTTTTCCACTTGCTATTACGTGGGAGATGGAATTTGGAGGTGACAAGGATGTAGAGAATGAAACGACAAATGAAAAGAAAGTGACTAAATATGCTTAGTTCGTGACTTCGAAAACAAAAGAGAAGATAGACACATATGGATAATTAGGTAAACTTTTTGGCGACTCTGAATGTTTAGGGAAAACGTTTAAATATCAATTTGATGAAACTTACCGGTTTAACCACTTTATATTGCATGAAAATCGTTATCAACCACAGGATTTAATGACGTCGGCTTTTCTTTCAATTCTTGCTAACCTTGACTTCCGTTGGTCCCATCATTTGTCACTCAAAGCAGGAAAGGGAAGTTCAAGCAGCGAAAGTGGAAACAGTTACCTTTATGGAAGCAGGTAAGTAGTGCGTTTTTCATTTTACAGTTCGCAAAGTATATCAGTTATTGGGTTTTTACATTCAAATGGCATGATTTAAAGAGATTACATTAGATTATTGTTTTTTTAAGTTAACGCATTGATTATAAAACATTAATAGTACCATGCTTTTTTTACGATACTGTTCCAGAAGAACAAAGCTTTATTTTATAGATTCTTTTTCTATCCATACACACTGATCATCTGAAAGATGCCACTAAATATTTAACTCCGTAAGAGCTCGATTTTCATAATAAAGTGTAACACTCTTTAAAGTATTGGAATGAACTTAGTTTCGTGGATGATTATCCTTATTTGTGTGTGCTTTGCATAAATTAGAAAACTTTTCTCGTTTGTCATTTTATCCCCTGTATTTTTGATTGATTATCCTTATTTGTATAGGCTTTGCATAAATAAGAAAAACATTTCTCGCTTTGACATTTTATCCATGTACAACTGCAAGAAATATTTCATATCAAGGCAGGAACAGCTATAAATAAAGCTGCTATAGTCAATATCCATCGATCGGTCTCATTAAGCGAATGCTTAGCCACCAAGAATCATCCAATCGAACAATATGTAAAGCGAGGTGACTTTGTCACGACTTCGATTTGCATCGAAAATGCACACATTTAGACCCATTTGTTGTTTTACAAATATTATTCATAGATGGAACACAAGTCAGCAATTTATTTAACACCAGCTCTCTAAATTTAATCATTTCGTAACATTTTTTTTAAAATAGTAATAAAAGTAATAATCTTACATCCAACTAGGATGGTATTGCAAAGAACAATGCGCCAAAAAATAAATGGACCATCATGAATAACTTTTGATCTAATGTCTAAGTTCTAGGTCTTAACCTTAATGGTTTGAAGGGGTAACTTTAAATATGCTAATTAATTAGTGCAGACGATATTTTAAGTTACGAAATCAGACACAAAAATGCACTTCCTCTAAATAAACATACATTTTTCGCCGACGGATTCGGATTTCTGACCCCCAAAACATAGGGGGTAGCCGCAATCTAGGAAATATGGTCCCCAGTTTGGTCAGGAGAACGAACCCCTTAAAGTAACTTTCATTTGTTTCTGTGTATTTTGCCATATCTCGAGAACTTTTTCAGCGAATTGAAAATTTTTCATACACAATTATAAGATTCATTTATCCAAAGATAATTCCATATAAAAAATAACTTTTAGTAAATATTTATTATTTTTTATAATTTAAATTATAAATGGTCGGAAAAATTTTGAATTGCAAGAATGCAATTTTACATGGCAAAATAAAAAATTAGAGTGAAATCGATTGTCTCTGAGAAATCAAATTTTAAAGAAAATTTTTAAAATTTGATTTCTCAGGAACTATTTCGCTAAATTTCTGTATTTTTCCATGCAAAATTACATCCTTTTAAATAGTGTAAAAAATTGTATATTGCAATTCAAAGCTTTAGGTTAAATTTTAGGTCAATCAAAAGTTACTTGTTCACTCGTTGATAAATTCAGCTGTTAAAATTTTATGTCATAAAACAAATTCATAACATGAAAACTGAAATAAATTATAAAAATATTACATTAAACTGAAATATATTTCTAGAATTTCTTGTATTTAAAAGATTACAACACATTTAAACATATTCCCTTGTAGTAAAAGAATTAAAAACCATGCCTTTACTGTACCTTGAAACATGTAGCAAGTTACAGTATGCTTTACTGTTCCAAGTAGCAATCACAATACAGTTTAAAAAAATTAAAATTATGAGCTAATATTATCTCACAATTAAAATATTTCAGAAAACCTTTCTCTAAAACCAAATAAAATCCTGTTGTTATAAATTAATATTCTCAAAAAAAGAACATAAAAGTTTTTAAAAAAATGTTCAACTCTTTTAAGTGGCGAACTTTTTTTTCTAACCAAGACATTAACTCAATGCTATGGATGCTAATTTTTACTGCGATGTTATCAATTTCTTATGGTCATAATTAAAAATAAAAATAACGCTAATATTCTTAAAAAAATTTCAGAAGTTGTCAATATCCTTAAGTAAAATACCCTTACCTACTTTTCTAATTACTTTATATTTTATCTAATTACCTTATATTTTATTACTTTATATTATATGGCCAACTCCCAAAGCGGATGTACAATTTTTAATTGAGGCCGAGATAGCCTTGTTGGTAGGGCGTTGGGCCATGTCTAAGAGGTTGTGAGCTCGATCTTCGCCGGTCGAAAACACCCCGTGTAGTAAATGGTGACTGATACACGTTAAATCTGTCTAGTCACAAGGTTCTCCTACTTCCCATAACAAATCAATATCTCTGGGGGTACTGAATTGGAGATTGATCATTCTCTGGTACGGATCAAAAGTTACGATTTGATGATGAATGTGGCATTAGAAACAACAACACGACTTTTAATGATCATTGACATTATAATTTTTAGTGGACATGGAATTTTTTTTTTTTTTGGTTTAAGTCGTTGTTTCAATTATTTTATCAATTTTCTCTAGATCCGTCATGAATAAAGCAATTGCCTTTCTACTTGTTTGCTCCTTGGCATTTTATGGATGTTCCGTAGAAGCACAAAGAAATCGTCAAACGAGTGGCGGTGTCAGGGGAGGAACTGGCGGACGGGGATCCGTATCAGGAGGACCTAGTGGAATAAGATTCCCAACTGAAGAAGAACAAGGTGTAAGAGGTGGCAATTCAGCGAGAGGATTCCGTGCTGGTCGATGGCCAGGTGGATTTTATGGAGGAATTCCAAATTGGTAATTTGATTATTCACATTTTTTTATATAGTTAAAATGCCGGGATAGTCTGGGTTGGAAAGGCGTTGAACTCATATTCAAGAGGTCGTGAGTTCGATTCCTACCGGTCGAGAATTTCCCTTGTAGTAAATGGTGACTGGTACACGTTAAATCTTTCTGCTCACAAAGTCTTCCATTCTTCTGTAACAAATAATACCACTGGGAGTACTCAAATGAGGATTGATCGTTCCCTGGTACAGGTCAAAAATTACCATCTGAGGATGAATGAATGTATGAATGAACGGGTCAGCCCTACAAACGAGCCGTGACGTGTGTGTAGCTAAAGTAGTATTCTTGGCAATAGATAGCGCAACTAAAAAACAAGAAACGCACCCTCTGTTTTAAATTTGCTTGGTTTCAACAAGCAGACTTGCCGATATTAGGAAGTGGCATTAGAGAAAACAACAATATAGTTAAAATAGCTTACTATTTTAGGAAGAATATATTACCAACTAGAGCAAGGATGGGCAAACTACGGCCCGCGGGCCAACTGTGGCCCGCCGGAAGGTTTTATCCGGCCCGCGAATAGAATTTTAATTTGCCGATCAGTGGCAAATATAAACAATATACATCCATTTTCTTGTCAACTATTCAAAATTATTTCTGTTTTTCCTTTTTTAACAAAATACTGATGACCTTTTTACTTTCTCTATTTTTGTTCTACTAAACATAAATTGATGGAAATAGTTAGCACAGACAACTTCAATTGGTAAAATGTTGAAAGCAGAAGCTCTTTATAGAATAGCCTTAGATTGGCTCTAACTAGCGTTTGTCTTTCTCGAGGAATCTAAAATAGGTAAATTGCGCCTCGCATTTGGCTGACTGCACGTTTTAAGATCCAATGAGCAGACAATCTAGCAATCATCTGAAGCAGTTGTTTCTAAATATGCCAAAGTTTTACAAATCATTACCAAAACTAGTTTCCAAAATTTAATATTTCATGCCTAGAAAATCAGCGCTATGTTTGCTTAATCTTATATATGTGAACAAGAGTTTTCAACTATGAACCTTAGAAAAAATCATTTCAGAAGTAGACTAACAGAAAAGCCTTGTTCCTTAAAATAAGCACATCTCACTTAGAACCTTAATATAAAGAACTTTTAAAAATGAAATCGCAATTTCATTCATCTCACTAAATATTTAAATTAAACTTGTATATCGCTTTTTTTTAAATTTTGAAAGTTTTAGTTGGCCCACCAAACATTTTTTCTCCCGATTTTTGGCCCTCGACCAAAAACGTTTCCCCATCTCTGAACTAGAGAGTCAACTATATTTGTAACTTCTTCATATGCATGTAAATCTAATAGCTTCAGCAGCATGAATTCGCAAAGTTAACCATAACTTTTGTAGAGTGTTGAACTATTTATTTTTTGAACTATAACAGTTTAAGTTTTTGCTCAAGATTTTCAATTTAATTTAAAACCTCAAATTACTTTAAACCTTTAAGGCAGATGGACACTGATTACCCTTTTATATATTTTTTAATGACACTCTAATTACAAGTAAGAATATGCATTGGTATTTTTTTATTATAAAAAAAAAACAGTCTAATAGTTACTAAAAAATATATTAGATTATCGACTTATATTTGTGCTGAAATATAAAACCTAAAAGAAGTAGTTTGAAAAAAAAAAAGCCATTTATTTTCAAAAGTTTATCAATAGTTAATTTTGTAAGCTAACGAAATTTCAATGATGAATAATTGTTTTTCTTGGATCTAAATAACTGCAATTAAATGCAAATTTGAAAAATTATTGTTTGGAAGTGAGCCGTGTTTCTAAGATTTTACTTTTAACGCAGAAAAAAACACCACTGTTTCATGCTGTACTTCATAACTAGAAATTATTAAAATGCTAAATATAATATTTTCTAACTTATTTTGAGCGAAATCAATGCAAAATAATGAAGAAGAAATATGAAAAATATGTTTAATAAAAATTTTGAGTCAAAGGGTTAATCATTTCAAATTTGGCATTCGTCTCTTGGTTCTATTTCACACGGTGTTTTACTAAACCTCATTTATTTTAATTATTCATCCATTTTCTATTTTGTTTATCGTTAATGAATGAATTTTACTGTAATCATCACGTTGCATAATCTGAAAAAAGGCATTTCCCAGTTTTTCTTCATATTTTGCGTAATTCAACTAACTACATAAATTAATTTATAGAGTGTTGATCAATATGACAGTCACTTCAATAATCATTTAACTTTTTTGCCACGTTTTACCTTTTTTTCCACTGCTCATAGTAAAATTTATAAATAAATAAACTATGTATATTTTACAAAAAAACATTTTTTAAGATCGAATTCCCTTAAGATCTTTGTTAAGAATTTCACCCTAAGCCATATGTGCTCTTTCTGGCGTAAAAAAAAAGAAAAAGAAAAAAAAAGAAAGAAAAAAAAAAAGATGACACTAGATTTGAATTTTTTCGAATATTTTTTCATATCTTGGAATATATTTTCATATACGAGGGTTGCTATTTATATTTCTGGTCTTGGCAACAGTAAGTGTTGCTAGGCGACCGCAGACGATTTTAATCGAAAGTTTGATATTTTTAAACATAAATTCAGCAGACGATTTACCATTATAGCTTCATTTGTGTTGTTGACAGTAAATTGAAAAGTTCTTCTCTTTAAAGAAATGGAATTGGGTATAATATAGCCTACGTCACAGGTTGTGCTGTTCCTACTAAATTTAACCCATGAACGGCATTTTCTGCGAGCCTAACTTCAAGCCACAAATAAACAAACGAAGTGTTCGATCGTTTAAACAGCTGCTCGCCAGATTTTATTGCATTATAAAGAAAAGTTATTGAAACTAAATAAACAACAACAACTAAAACAAATAACAACAACTACTAATAACAATAACTAAATAAACAACAACTACATTCCATTCGTTTAGCATTGCGTCATATGTTGTTCCTACTAAATCGAAGTAGTTGTGTTTTTTTCATATTATACCCAAATTGAATCGTGAACATTTTCGTGCCATTCTTTTTCATAACTTTCAACGTGGATTGTCAAGACAAGAGTGCTTCGATGAACTTAATTCTTTATTCAGCGGTAAAGCGCCATCCTACAGCACTGTAAAAAGTTGGTATAACGAATTTGATCGTGGTCGATTCTCGATCCAGGACGAATCCCGTGCAGGTCGTCCAAAATCAGTTGTTGTGCCAGAAAAGATCGATGCTGTGCGTGAACTGATAAAGCAAGATCATCTTGTGACGTACTGTGAGATTGAGGCGTCTTTGGACATTAGTATGACTAGCATCAATAAAATATTGCATGAACATTTGAGCGTAAAGTTGGAAATGTTGGAAAAATACGTTCAAGGTACATCAAAGGCTGTGTATAACGTCTACACAGGTGACGAATCATGGATCTATGCATATGAGCCGGAAACAAAACAGCAATCAACTGTATGGGTCTTCCAAGACGAGGCAAAACCAACAAAAGTTGTTCGAGGAAGAAGCACATCGAAACAAATGATTGCCTGTTTCTTCGCCATTAACGGTCATGTGGCAACAGTGGCGTTAGAGCAACGCAGGACGGTCAATTCTGAATGGTTGTTGCTGTTGTTAATTTACGTCGCACTAAAGCTGCACAATGGGCTATTGGCGACGGTCTGGGAAACATCCCGGAGGATGATCCGAAGACATGCCATCACAATTTTAATCCTCTGCGGAAGGGACAATTCTGAATGGTACACGACCATTTGTTTGCCAGAAGTCATCGGAGAAATTCGAAAAAAGCAGAACAGGCGAATCATTCTCCATCATGACAATGCGAGCTCTCAAACATCACTCAAACAAAGGCATTTCTGACGGAGCGAAAGATCGAACTGATGGGTCATCCGCCGTACATCCCTGATTTGGCACCCAATGACTTCTTCTTATTCCCACACATCAAAAATAAATTACGTGGACAACGATTTTCGACCCCCGAAGAAGCGGTTGATGCATTCAAAACGCATGTTTTGGAGTTACCTCAATCAGACTGGAAAAAGTGCTTTGAAAATTGGTTCAAACGCATGCAAAAGTGTATTGATCATCATGGAGAATATTTTGAAAAACAATAAAACTAATTTCGATCCTACATATTTGTTTTCTCATTATTAGGCCAGAAATATAAATAGCAACCCACGTAATCCAAACCTTAACGAACTAGACGTAATCTTGCTTCACGTTTATGAAGGGTGCTTGCCTTGAAATTAAAGATATTTTGAGGATATCAGTGCCGGAAACTAAAAACTCTGATTAACAACAATCTTCTGTTCAATTTAACATTCAACTTTTCCTTTGCAGGTAATCCTCTTTGTCCATCGATTGGACATTTTTTAAGATTCCTCTCCTTTAAAATCTTTAATTGCATTCCATTTTAAATCATTGTTTCTTTTTTACAAATCCTGATTTGAATATTGCATGCACAGCTTAAGCTGATAAAAACACGAAAGAAAATTTGAACTTACAGAAGATGAAATAAATTTCTATAAAACGATACAAACGAGTTAAGAGTATGTAAAATCCAACCGAATGACGAACAACTCTTTGATAAATTCAAAAGCACTAACTCCAACTTTTTTCTAAATTTATTTTTTGTAAAATTTTTTTCTTCTGAGGTAAAGTTATCTATGATTAAGTTGAATTCATGATTCAGCTGTTGTTGCCATTCAAGGATATAGAAAATGCATGGGAAAAAAATTACAAAAAAAAAGTTTAGGAAAAATAATAGTTCAGTTACAATTTTGAAAATCTTCTGACAGTTTTAAATCTAAAAATTTTAGCCACGAAGGCATTTTTCCTGAAAAATACAAATTTAAAAATAAATCAGCCAGATTTTTACCAGACTTGTGTGAAAAATCTATAACTAGGTTTACTTAAATATCATGTAAAGTGTTTTGAAATATTACATTGTTTTCTGAGTCATGAGTACTTTTTTTTTAGGGAATTTCTTGAGAAAAATGCAATTTTTTAAAAAAAATATATTTCTTTACTTTTAAAATCATTACAATTCATCTTCTGGAGTGAATTAACTCATCTTCTGGAGTCGCTAGAAGTGCTCTATAAGATTTTCGAAATTTTTTGTTCAGCAAACCAATTTCGAAAATATGATTTTCCAGATTTATTAAAAAATTTAATTATATCCTTTTAAAACATTTTTACGTGGTACGTAAGTAATATTAATTTCACATTCTCGAGTTTAAAAAAATTCAGAGATTAGGAAAAATGGCTGTTGTGAAGAAATGTTTTGAAAATAAAGGTACAATAGCAGTAAACGAAGAAGCTATTAAATTTTTTGAAAAAATGACACATCTACTACTAAACCAAATTAATATATTTTGTACACTAAACTAAAAATGATTTTGAAAATTGGGAAAAATTATTTTTTTAGAAAAATTGCTTGTTGAAGTAAAAATTTACCAAATTAAGGACGCTGAGAGTATTTTACATCATGACTAAGCAAACCACTTGGTAACTTTTGTACTCTCAGCTGAAAATGTGCTTGATAATTTCTGTAATTAAAGAAGCTAGAACCAGACAAAAGTGTTAAATTAAAAATTAAGGACAACTAAGACAAGCCAGTTACTTTTCAAGATTTAAAAAGTTGAGCCTTACTGCTTCGTCTGACAAATTGACTGGTTTCTGATCATCATAATTTCAGTATTAGTCGTAGGGTAAGAATTCTGCTTTGCGCCACCTGTAGCCCATTTCGATCGCCAAAAGTGACAATTGTTTAAATGCGTGGAACCCACGTGTTATCGGTTTATCTCTTGCTCTTTTAACTTCTTACATAAGAACAATTTGTGAAAATCCCCTTAGTAAAATTCAAATTAATTACTAATGTGTGTTCTTACATTATTTTACGTTGTTCTTACGTTATCAATGTTTACAGCGATGCCAACTTGCTCCGCTTTGTAGGAATTTTTTTCCCCCAGTGTTAGAAAAATGTACGTTTTTATGTGGGATTCTTGGTTTAATAAATCTATGATTTTATTTTATTTTCCCCACCACTAAATATAAATAATCCAGTAGTTCATATAAAACGCCACTTAATTCAAGTTATCTAGTGGTGAACGTTTAAGTTTGGGAAAAAATTAATCCAAGTTCTGCAAGATTTGTTTTTAATTCTCTACTACTTTATAAAACCTTTTTTTCTAAATCGGAGCAGTTGGCATCCCTGCGTTTATTAAACATGTTTTCAATTTCAGTGCATGATTAAAAAATATGTAGTTTCCATTGTAATTAACACTTTTAAGTTTCAAATTTTCTATTTCAGATAACAGTAGGAAGAATTTAATCAAAGTTCCTCGCCGCTACGTTTTGACATACAGTATGTGACACCGAAAAATTTCAAGTTACTGTCATGAAATGTTTATGCTTGTTTTAAACTAGTTCTGAAGTTTAATAAATTGATTTTTAAGTTATTCTTCTATCTTAAATAAAATTTAAAAACATTTCTGATTTGATTGTTAACGTTGCGCAGTAGACTCATTACTGGGATGTTGTCATGCAATTTTGATATAAGGTAGTGGTGGGACTAATTCCCATGGCTAAACCAGGTTCTTCAAATAGTGCAGACGTTCGATTAACTTAGAGGCTTTGATTAATGTTCTTAAAAACAGTAATGCTGGGGCACTCCAGGATGTGTTCCGAAGATACTGAGATGTTGCAGCTTGCGTATGGTGGAAAAGTTTTCATTCTATTTTCAAATCTTCAGATTTTTGAGCAGAACAGTTCTAATCCTACAGAGCATAGTTGAGATGCTTCGAGTGTTTTTAAACTTCAAAAGATCACTTGCAGATTTGCTGGTATATCAATAATGAGCAGGTGTTTTGTTTCTTTCAGAAAATTAAAAGATGATCATTTTGAGAGGGGTGTCATGTTCTCTTTAGTATCAGATGGCCGAATTTCGATATATGATGCATCGCAATTGGAAAGCCTAATTATTTAATTACATTTCAAAAATATGCCTCATAATTGCGCACTCAGCTAATAAAATGTTTCTTGGAAATTTAAGATAATAATGCAAAAATATAATATCAATGAATTCCGATAATCAACAAAACGAATCCGAATATTAATTTATCAAATCGGTACCTTAAACATATACTCCAGTTGAAATTAGACCAGATTCAGTGCAGACAAAAAAAAAAAAATCAAATGAAAATTTTAGTAGATCAACACAGAACAGTTACGTCAGAAGTGACGGCTATTTCACAATCTAATAATATTCCCGAGACTGGAAATAAGTTATCGAACTATTATGTTTATTCTAACTAATGCTAGAAGACATTTATCATCAGAAAGCATGTGCATCACAAAGTCATCTCGTTTTATAATAAATTATCTTCTTCAAAATGTCAGTCATATTTAGGATACCTGGCATTTTGAACAGTCTGCATTGTAAGATTACTCTTAAAAAGGGGAAGAAAAAAAAAACAGATCAGTTTATATGGTTTACTTTTCTTTCTGGAAACAATTATTTTTTCTACACATTAAAATGGCCATTTTTGAGGAATTACTTAATCTAAAAATAAAAAAAAATTTGACGTTTTAAATTAAATACTCTTTTATACAAAAATAAATTTATACTTAAAAAAATCTGAGCTAAAATATACATTATTACTGGTGAAACAAAAATTAAATAAAGTTTTTGAAAATTGGCAATATCACTATCAACATACGTTTGAAGTTAATACTCAGACCTAGATAATTAAAAACAATTTATAGCCCTAACCACCTATCAGATTTAAATTGAACATGAAGGCATGTTGTAAACGGAAAAAAGGAATGTTTAAAATTTTGAAGCAAAATATTACTATAAAATGTTAAAATTATTTTTAAGTAGATAAAAATATGAGGAAAATCTTTGCCAGACATATTACATAGGGTGCATCACTTTTAAAAACTGAAGTTGATTTTAGATGCTGATAAACTATTAGGAAAGCAATACATCCTACATTTTAGGTCTGACAAGACTAAATATTCTTTTTTTTTTAGTCTACTTTTTTATTTTATTATCATTAATGTTTTTTAGTTTTGTGTCTAAACTAGTTACTATTACAATAGCTATAAGCAATAAAACACCATAACAGCTTGTATTAAATATCTAAAGAAAAAAAACTCTGTAAGGCAAGAGATATACTGGTATAATTTTATTGATGAAATAGTGTACATTTAATATACCACATATAGCTTGCACGTACCAATATCAACTATGACTTAACAAAGAGTCATCACAATTTTTATGATTAACAAAAATTATATTAAGAAATCGGAAAAATTAAACTGATAATTTTAAAAAAGTAAAAAAAAAAAAATTAAAAATAGGCCTATAAAAAGGAGTTGCAATTCTTACAAAAAAAAAAAAATGTAAATGGAATGAAGCCTTCCAAGTAGAAATTGCTATTTTGCACAATGCAAATTAACTATGACACAATTTAAAACAGTGATACAAAAACTAAGGAAATATTATCGTTCACAGAATAAGCAAAAATGCAAATTAAATCATTTCAAAAATATTGAGAACTGAAAATAATAAAGACTAACTCATAAATGCAAATATGATTATGCAAACAGTTTTACTCATGGATCTACAATAACCATCAAAGAGAACAATTAAAACAATACACATACTTAGCAAAAATTACATTTTTGTAAAAATATTGGCAAATAGTCCATATAACAGAAATTGAAGGCATTTTAACCATATATTACAAGGCATGTAATTTCAGTTTTACAGGTACTTGCCTGCCACTTTTTCATAAACAATATGAGCTATTTTTAAAATGTTAACACAATTTAGTATGAAGAACATTTTAGTGACTAAACCCAGAAAAATGTACAAAAGTCAAAACATATTTCATGCAGTGAATTTTTATTTAAATTATATAATTTTTAATTAAAATAAGGTTGGCATAAAGTTTTAATGGTTCCAATATCAAGATATATCATGAAATTTTTGTGTAAAATTCTGTTTAGCAATTTAAAATATTAAATAAAAAAAGTGAGTTAGTTCATGTAAACCAACCATGAAGTTTTAATTTTTTTTCTTCAAAATATCAAAATGCAAAAAAATTACGGAATGATTACTTCCCTATTGCATAATCCATTTTGATATTTTGAAGAAAAAAAGACATTAAAATTATTATTTCGGTTTGCATGGTTCAGTTTATTTTCGGTTTGCACGAACTCACTTATCTATACTTTTATAAAGATTTTGAATTACTAATGTAAAGATAAACAGAATTTGATATAAAAGATTTCTTTCACAGTATAGTATCCTCCTAACATTTCATCTTTATATACCACTGCCCTTCGGCAAAATACTATTTAAGTGTCGAATCGCAGTTTTAAGATCAAACTCTGTTAAGGGGCATTTTCAGAAATTCTGAGTAAATTATTTTAAGGAATTTCAAATCCTGCAATATCAAAGTTTTTCCAAATTTGCACCAATTTATAGCATATAAACATTAACTCTGAAAAAATTATGTTACTTTAATAAGAAATATTTTTTAAAAGACAGAACTTACATGCCAGCTCTAAATATTCAGTTGCCAATGGTGATTGGAAATTTCACGCACTGATATACATGATAAATTATTGTAGAGTTTTAATAGCAGAAGACACATTTTTCAGATATACTCCATACTCAAGTTAAAAAATTAAAATGATGGTGTTGTAAATAAAATCTGATGCAAAAAAGAGGATCATCATTTGATGCAAAAAAGAGGATCATCATTTGATGCAAAAAGAGGATCATTGCCCCAGGATCATTTAATCCTAGCTGTAATATTCAGTCGCCAATGGTGATTGGAAATTTCACGCCCTGGTATACATGATAAATTATTGTAGTTTTAATAGCAAAAGAAACATTTATCAGCTATATTCCATACTCAAGTTAAAAAATTAAAATGATGGTGTTGCAAATAAAATCTGATGCAAAAAAGAGGATCATTGCCCCAGGTTCATTTAATCCTAGTTTGCATAAACAATGCAAACCTACAAGAGCAGTTACATGAACACATGTAAAATATTTTATGAATATTGAACTAATAAACTATAAATATTAAAAATGGCAATTACCAAAATATGCAAACCAATTTAAACATAACTCAACTTAATTTATCTGAGATGTCAACATTTAGTGTGCTTTTTCACTATCATGTAGTTCATGTTTTCTGTTCACTTTGCTGTTTTTTGAAGTAATGCAGTTAGTGACATTAGAAATTTTAAAAGCAATTTAAACAAAATGAAAAAACTTTAAGGAAGATTTTATAAAAGTATTAACAAAAAAAAATAGTTTCCAACTTAATTAAAATAGAGAAATAAATTTGTTCTCCTGTGGAAAAATAAGGATTTGATTCCAAATTAGGAAGTGAAAAAAAAAAACATTCTGAAACATAAAAAATAGTACCAAAAAATTATAAACATTAAAGTAATTATAAACAAAAAAATTAAGATTTTTCATAAATTTTCAAAATATTTCTATATACCCAACCTCTTGATAGTTGATATCCCTGATATATTATCATACAAAAAAAGAAAATAATTAAAAGCCATAAAAATATATTGTTAATAAATACACTAAAATGAAAAAATGAGATCAGCTTAACATTAAGATCAAGCAAAATATGCTTAACATTGCCATAAATTAACTATATCAATGTATAATGATTATAACAATAGGATGATTGTTTTCAGAAGATTAAAGCTAAGATGAGCGACTGTAAAAAGAAAAAAAGTTAACTAAATTAGGGCTTAGCACCTTCCTTTGTCTAAAAATATATGAATGCATAAAAGCGTAATTTATTTAAATAAAAAAAATTTACTTATAATGATTACAATAACAAAGCACAAAATCAATAGCTTAACTGAATAATTTAAATTTTTTTAATATACAACTACATAAACGTTGCAAAAATTACATTTATTTTTTATGGTAAAAAAAAAAAACAATTATGAATTATCTAAAATCTTCATCTGAGTTTTCAAACCAAAAAAAACTTATTATTCTTTTTTCTAGGATTCAAATAATTTTCAAAAAATGTTAGTAAAAGTAGTATTTGTGATTTATGATAAATTTATGTTATATATTATTTAGCATGTTTTGTGATAGGATTATCGAGATTTGAACTGCTTTTTTGTAATAAGTCATTAAAATTACACCAAGAACATTATTTTATGGTTTTATCAAACAGTTACAGTATAATGCTGGAAATAAAATAAAAAATCTGTTATTTAAGTTAGTAAAACACATTCTTTAAATTTGCTTACAAAAATTCCGCACATTTATTTATTTATCTTAAAATTCAGCTATTTATCTGTTAGTATACATAAGATAATTTACTGAACTTACATAAATTCCCATGCTCAAAAATGGGCTTTGAATAAATTTTACGATCTCAAATAAGATTTCAAAACATATGATGAAAAGTACCAAATGTATGAAATACAGTCTAACAATAAAAACATATTGTGAAACTATGCTTTGCATAATCCTCAAAAATAAGTCATCAGTAGAAAATTCTAGATTAAACCTCATTCTAAATGTTCAACAGAATATTTAAAACAAAATTTGACATTGAAATTCCAATATAAATTAAATATTTTAATATATTATTTACACAAATTAAAAGGAAAAATCTATTTAAAATCTTACTGGTACTAATAACTAATATTTTAATTAACTTTATAAATTTTAACATTTTACGTAGGAATTTAATGGAAATCTTAATTCTCCATTTCAATTTTATAAAAGTTCCTGCATCAAACGCCAGCACAATTAATCAGGCTGCTTTACAGTAAGCTAAAAATAAAATTGACAAAAATAACTCTTGGTTAATTTATGCATACATATATACAGCAAATAAAATAACCACAAAGGAAGACTGAATTACAATACAGAATAAAGCATGCAAAATATATCAATTTTGATATATTTTCAAATTTTTGGTCTTAATACAAAACAGAATATTTATAACTAGCAATGTGTGTGAAATCTAGATCCATAATATAATAAAGTTATACATATATTAAGTATTGTGCAAATACATTCAAATAGAGGAAGTTCTTCAGCAATAAACTATCAAATGCCTAGCAAAAGTTGTTGGAAAGCACAAATATTCACAAAATACATGGGGGGCAAGAGAGAAAATAAATTCAAGAATCAAGTTGAAGTTCTTCAAATGATTCTGTGCTAGCATCTGAGCCATTGCTATTAGTTTTGTTCTTTTCTTCTAGACTGTCAAGAACTTCCTCATTTGATGGTAACTCTTCAACTTTTGAGCCACCACCTTCTATGAGTGAGTCGATTGAGCTTATAGTATCTGGCAACTCTTCCAGATCTTTGGCAGAAGTTTCCTCATCATCTGCTGTTTTCTCAGATGTTATTTCCTCTTCACTCTCAGCTAAAGCTTCATAAACAAAGAATTCACTTTGCTTGGATAATGGAGAAATGTACACAATTTTCTCACCATCACACATTTCAATTAAGGGATACGCTTGAAGCTTTTTTTCCTATTAAAATAAAGATTTCACTACAATATTCAGATTGAAATTCCACTATATATTTAAAAGAAATCAATAAAAAAGATTTAATTGCTTAAAAAATTATGCTTAAAAGTTTAATATAAAATGAGATATTTCACATAAATGAATATTAAATTTTAATTTGAGATTTTAGGATTTAACCTAACAGTTAAATAAAATTCATAAAAATCTATGTATTTATTCAGGGGTCTGTCCAGGGCAAATTTACTATTGTTTAGCGGTACCTTCTTCACAAATTCAACGTTCGATAAAACAATACTTTCACAAATTCAACTTTAGGAAAAACGGTACAACGTTAAAACTTGTCTGAGTATGTTATAATATTAAAAATCTGTTCTTTTCATCTCAGTATACTGTTACTTCGATATGCTAAGTGTGTTGAGTACTTGGTAAAATACTAATTAAAATTATATTGTGTGTATGCTGTGTTGATTTAATAATTTTCACAAACTATTTCCAAATTTTCACAAATTAGGTACCTTTTAAAAAAACCTAGACAGACCCTAGTTATTATATATGTTATTATCAATGTACAAAATGACAGCATTGTACAATATGGTTTCTTTCTTTCAAGACAGAACAGCCCACAGTGGACTAATTTTCATTATGGAGAGAATTTTTGTTACATAACTTAATCTCCTTTTGGGTCTTCCTTTATGTTTTGGAGAGAGGGGGGATGAAATTTAAAATATTGATTGCCCCTTACACATTTATTCCTTCTATATGGCCCAGCCACGTCATCTTTAAAGTTACCACGGAAAAAAACATTAATTAAGCAAGAAAATAAAATATTAAAGTATATAACTTCTAGAAAACATAATCAACAAAAGTATTCTACTCCCTAGGGCCAAGGCCTACAGTGCCCCTCTCAGTTTTCTTGAGCTTGAACTCTGGGATGCAGGCACTGGTATTCCGGTTGGGTAGTTAGCTGAAAGCGGAGCCCCCAAGTATGCTTATTTCATAGAAGCAAAGGGATCAAAGGCTAAATCAACCTTACCTGGTCTGAGGATAGAACCCAGGACCAATGGCAGGAGAATGAGAAGCGTTACCACTATGCCACCTGGCAAATTCATAATCACGGATAAAGCAAATTAATCATTCATTACAAGACATAAACATAAATCAATTACCTCAAGATATTCATAAAATTTAGGGACAACTTTGTTTATAGCAATTAAAACAGACAGAAAACTGTAGTGCGGAAATTCAGTGTAAACCACATATTCCACTGCAGGGAATTTTGTGATTTGGAAGCCTTTGGCAGACATTCTTTGTCTCTCTTCTTCAGGAACTTCCTTCCCTTCATCATTCAATACAACACCAACAACAGATCTTCTTATATCATCACCGACCTAAAATGATTAAAAATTTTAGAAATCTAATTTTTAAGTATCACACAATGCATGTCTTTCAAATATTTTATTTTGAATGTAAACATTTTCCTCAGTTCCATTAACTGTGAATGAAGTTCAATCAGTTCTTGCTTTTGAATGAACATTAATTCAGAGTCTCTATGGCGAAAGTGGATACATATATAATGCATACTTGTACTCTTTTAGAAATGAAATTCAAATCCTCAATGAATCTATATAATATAAGCAGCTAATAATAAGGGGTCATATAGCATAATAACTGAACACCAGCTATTATAAGGGCATAAAGCTATTAATAAAAAGTGATGTATTAAAAATATCGACGATAATTAACACTTATAAAAAATGCACAAAACTGAAAAGCATCTGCTGACAAAATTAAATATAATTCCAAATAACTTTGATTATTTGATGTCCTTTGTGATTTTACATAATTAGATTAAGAAAAACAAGTTTTTAAAATTTCAATTCATCGAAATAAAAATAAATCATTCTTGAAGGTATTTTCCACCAAAAAATTATATTATTTAAGATGGTCAACACAAGGTTTTAATCTAGATTAGGTAAGTAATGAATGTGTAATGCCCCCAGGTTAGGATATAATAAATGTATTATTTGGAAAATTATATTTCTAAAAAAAAAATTTGGGAGGGGGGAATTTTAGTAAATTTAATAAAGAATAATCTATAATCGTATTTTTTACTATTCATCAATCGAAATAATTTCACATATATTAGTTTCTGGTTGTGAAAATCGTGAAATGAAAGAAAAATGGTGAAAATAGACAAATTAGCGAAAGCTTACACGATTTAGCGAAGGTTTAAAATTGAAATTTTAGATTGCAGAACTCTTAATTTTTACTTTAAATCTTAACTTACTTTAAATTTTAGATTGCTATGAAAATTTAAACAGATTTTAAGTTTAATATATGGAAGTCTGTGATCAAAGACTTATGGACTTTACATAAAAACAACATGTCCTGCTCCTACTTTCGAGACCTGGACAGGTGAAACAAAAAACCAGGAATACAATCACCCCAGATTCTCGTTAGCCTGGTAACAGAATTTACAGATTGAATTTTCAGCACTTGCTTCATAAATCCAAAATCCTATGCAGTCCCAACAGTCAGCCTAGGAATATTATTGTAAAAATTCACCTTTCTCTAAGATACATGTAGTAAAAACTTGCAAATAAAAGGTTCTTATACATTCAAACTTCATGTTGTTTAAATTTAAGTAGAATTTTATGTAATGATACTAGAATAGCTATGCTTGTAATCAAGTAACAGAAAAAAAAATTAATATTTGCAATTTGCAGTGTTCTCTCAATTCAGCCTTTTAATTTCATTAGAAACAAGTTTTGAGCTGTTTTGAGAAAGGAATCTAGGCAATTCTTATCCATTAGTTTTTTTGCTTTTTAAAATAAAAAGGAAACCTAGATGACAAATATTATGGAGATGTTGTAATAATCTGCCCGCTAATGGGATAGTAAGCAATAAAAAATAAGAAAACCCATCTGCACTTAAATTTATAACAATGCCAAATGCTAAAACTATAACAAAAATTCATTTTTTAGGACTGGAGACTAAAACGAATCCTGGCAACCTCTGAGAAAAATAAAAGACCTTGGACGAAACAATTTCAGAGTTATAGGACAAACTTATATTTCTTTATTTATAGGGAAAACTGGGGTCAGTTGGTCCACTTTTCAATTTTATCTTATTAAAAACTAATTTGTATAATTCGATTTTTTTTTTGAACCGCCATTTTAAATGCTATATATGATTTTTTTTTCTTCCTTAAATGTTCTGTGGAAATTTTTAAAAAACAAATGTTGAATAGGATCAAAACTTGATTGGGGTAGAGGTATGCTGGTCCAACTCATGGTACACATACAGGGGTGGCTTTGTGCCACCCCTGTATGTGTTGAAACTGATTTTTGTTTTAAAACTGTTTTTTTTTACTGACTTAAAACTGATTTTTGTTTTGCCGGTGGCAAAAACTGATTATAACTAGTAAAAATACCCTTTATACTTTAGGTAAATACTAAATGACATTCGTTTAAGTAATCTAAAAAATTTAACTACATTTCGTCAATGTAAAAAACTTGATATAATAATACTTAATGTAAAAAAATTTAAATCACAAGAGTGAAATTTCTGAAGCAAAGCAACTGAATTGATCCTTATTAAAATTGCTCAACAATAGAAGCTTTAGCTTTATGATTTTCTTGTAACTTAAACAACTTTTCAATGCATTGTTGGAAAATATATAATTTTGTTTACATTAAATATAAAGAATAGTAAATCAAATATTTATATGAAATAAAGTAATATAAAAATAAATATATATACAAAAATTTAGAAGTGTTCTTCCTAAGCATTTTTAATCAAATATTTATATGAAATAAAGTAATATAAAAATAAATATATATACAAAAATTTAGAAGTGTTCTTCCTAAGCATTTTAGAAGTGTTCTTCTAAGCATTTTTAGACAGCCTACCCTATCTGCAATTTGATCCCTATAAATGCACCACACAAAATTTTGCTGTCATCCCTTAAACACTGCCTTTTTACGCATGTTCCATCTAAAAAAATAATAAATAACTCTATGTTCAAATAATAATTACACACTGGTAAAATTATCTGTGTTTATGGGTTTAATTCTGATTACTATAACAAATAATTTCTTTGTTAGGATTGTTCCCGACTTTTCAAAGGGGAAGGGGCATAATTTTGAATTTAAAGGATTTTAAATTGAAAAATTATTTTTTAAACAAATACTTTTTTTTAAAAAAAAAGATGCAATTTTAAATGTTTTTTTTCTCATAATTTTCAATTTGAATTATAGAAAAAAGCTTCCAAGTTGTTTTATCAATTATGTGCTTTTTTAGTTAACTATCTTTTAAAAAAAATTATGCTCAGAGATTGTCTTTAAGCATGCCTATGCCTTTAATTATTTTTTATGAACTACAAACTTTTCTCTTACTTTGATAAAGTGTGAGAATTACTTTTTGAAATATATACATAAAATAGTATAAAAGGATAATTTAAAAAACGTTGGGGATCAAATTCAGTTTTTACATAATTTTACACATTTTGATAAATTTTTACGGTATTAAATTAGTGTCCTTTTCTGTGAGGAAGCGCCCTGCCCTTTTTATTCCTTGGCTTTGATTTTAGTCTTATTAACTCTAAGTCACTAGTTTAAGTCTAATTAACTCTTAACATAACTAAATGAAGCCACTTTCAAATAGTTTTTCTTATTTTTCAAACCATGATTTGCATGGCAACAGTCAACAATCCAATCATGTAAACAATTGAGTACTTACAACTAAAAAAGAATAAATAAGGCCTAACCATGTGATTCAAATAACAAAGTAACGCCCAATCATGTGGTTGTGCTTGGCTGGTAAACAGCAATTAGGCTTGGTAAATTATTATGCTACAGCCAATTTTGGATCAGAGTTAATTAAATATCCATAAGCAATGTCACATGTGCGTAACAAGCCTGCTTGGCCTCTGAATTGTGACATAAGGGAACGCCAGAATTTACCCAGGATGACATCAGTTGCTGGTATCCAATAGTAATTGCATCTTGGTTATAACATTTGCTTCTTCTAAGTATTATCTTAAGTCATTTGGTAAATTTCTTATTAAAAATCAAAACGAATAAATGAGATAGATATTTGATTTCATTTGATAAAAGTATTACAGGGTTCCCACTCTATGATGAGATTGAAATTCAAGGACTTTCCAGGACTTTTCAAGGACCTCAACAAAATTTTCAAGGACCTTAATCTAAGACCAATTTTAAAAATTATTCTCTTCTATTTTACTAGAAGCAACAATGCTTGTTGTGGCAATAATTAATTTCAAATATAATACCTAAATGCTTTGCCTATATAGAGAGAAAAGAGTATATGTATTATGGACTAAAATTTATATTTTTTTAAAAACAACCGTACTGGTTTTACATATTAATTCACAAAATCATTTTCAGCACAATCTATAACTAATGGTAATGAGGTGTTAATGGTGAAATCCTTTAATCCTGTGTATTTCCATGTGAAGGCTGCATGAAAGACATAGCTAAATCTTAGGTACTCCATATTCCATGACTATTCCATAACCCCTCCTCTCCTCTATTAAACATCGTTTCTGAAATTATTCATCCATAATTTACACAACCTTCTCTAAATGTTATGCAGCAACAATTCTTTCTGAAAATAAAAATTAGAAGGAACATATCCCATTTTCACCATGTTTAAAAGCATTATTCGTTATGTGTAATCCACAACTGCCAATGAATATGACCTGGTGGGAATATTTCTCTTTTAATTCACACTGAAGCTTCTAATAGAATTTCCAATTGACATAGGGTCCATCCATGGATAATTGAAGTATTTTAGAGAGCTTTTAACCATCATCCATGCATTTGTAAAAAGAGGACAAAATATTTTCTGCAGTTCCATGACCCATAAATTGGGAGGTAAGATACTTAGTGCAAACTTTATTATCAATTCCTTACCATAATGTCCATCTGCTTAGATTGTAGAGACTGATTTAACGTCTCATCAAAGAGTACAGTGTAGCAATCAACATTCTTCAGCTCATTTATAAGAATCCCTTTGAAGTATAGTGCCAATCCAAAGGAGCCCAAATAGGCTCACTTTGTGGCACTACAAAAAAATTGTCTCGCTATACAGCTATCAGCAAACATTTTGGAGAACAATTTACTAATCCCTTCACAGGAGTTACATGAATAATTACTAGTGATGCACTTCAGACTCCAGAGAATTTCAGCATCAAGCACATTCCTTTTGACCAGATAAGAAGACAATGTTACCTCGGCCACTAAAGTTTCTGTTTCACATGGGGCACACGATGTTGAAGGAGTATTTACACCAGATGAATTAGATGTTGATGTCTTTGGAAAAAGAGAACTCAGGGCATGAGACTGCTTTTTTGTTTTACCTTTCTTTCATGTGTGATTTCAGAGCAGATTCTTCCATTTTCGCGATATCGATCTCCTTCATGCATAATCGGCACTTGGCTCTGAACTTCTTTTCGGGCATCGATAAAATCCATTCTTTATAAGCTTGATTATCCATCCATTGGGGATTAAAATAGCACTTCCCAGGCATAACTAGTCTAAACTACATAACACAAATACGAAGCCGTGCCTTTGCGAATACGCTTTACAATAAAGTTTTGAAATGACGCAAACGTAAGGACAAGTGCGGATGGTAAAACGGCAAATTTATTGAAAACTACAAGGTACATATTGTTACGAAATTCGAGAGTATTCCAGTTTCGATAAGAAAAAAGAAGATCTAAGCATATGCGACAGAAGATGAAGTGGAGTCTCGCCCCGAACGCATTGATTGTCTGCTGTGCTCCGCGCGCTTGGCAGACACCAAGACGCTAGGCCCGGTTAGAAACGGTGGCGTTAAAAACCACGTGAGAGAGCTCGGGAACAAAACAGAAAGAACGAGAAAGATCCGCGGGTGTTTTATAAAAAGGGCCGCCGGCAGTATTGGACAAATTCAAGGACCTATCAAGTTTTTCAAGGACCTAAGACGTTTTTCAAGCACTTTCAAGGACCTAAATTTAGCAAAAAAAAATTCAAGGACTCTCAAGGACCGTGGGAACCCTGTATTAAAACTTTAATACAACATTCTAGTTGCATTTAAACTAGTTTCAATGTTAGAATAGAAAGGAACTTATCACTAAAAAATTTAAAAACTAGTTAAAATTTGAGGAAAAGGTAGTTTCACGAAGAAGGCAAGTTTATGTTATCTAACAGACTAGTTTTGTTTTGCTTTCATGAAAAAGAAATGCAATCACACATGGAATGTTTAGAGCTGCTTAATAAAGTTTAATACTTCATTTATAGTAAAGAGTTTTTGATTCCTGACTTCTAAAAAGACAAATAAAACTAGAGACCTTGTGATAAACAAAAGAAAATAAATTTAAAAGATAAAACTTGTAGACACAATTAGGCAGACTACATTTAACATTTCTTATAAATTTATTCCTGTTTAATACTAAGCAGTTCCACTGGACACCTTAGAAATTTCAGTTGATACAAACAAATAATGGAAAGGGGAAGATTTCTGTATCGTGATCTGTGGCAGAATAATCGCCAAGTCTTGGGAGACTTCAGGGCAGTGACAGCCGAGAAACTAAAAAAAAAAAACGTTACAAAAAGGGACCAACTCGAAAGGCATAACTCACAGCCACCCTCAGGCAAACATCAACATGCTTTTTTTTAAAAAAAAAAATTGCAAGCTTAAAATTGATTTGGCACCTTCGCGATTGAAGTTGGCGCGAGAGATCTAGATACGGAAATATCCCCATGGAAAGTTCTCATTCTTTATTTATGAATGATAAGAAAACACATGACTTCTTTTTTATTTCAAATTTAATTGTCTTGTTAACAAAAATTAAATATGTTAACAATAGTTAAAGTGATAAGGTACATTTGACTCAAGAAAAAAAATTATAAATTAATAAAAAAAAATTTTTGAGTTTATTATGATTGTACACAAATACAACTTCTTACTATATTTTAATTATGACAATATCATCTATAATATATTTACACAATAGCACATAATCTAGTTTACTTATTACAATTAACTGTACTTATAATTAAATTTTGACTCTTAAAATACTTGTAACAAATTATTACACAGACTAGTTTTTATAATCTGTCCGTTTAAATTAAATTTATTGCTCAGGGACATAAAAGATAGAGTGAAACAACATTTCAACAAAACCATATTTTATGCAATTTAATCATTAGCTAGAAAAAAATATTACTTCTTTTGGATTATCGTAATAAACTCCAATGCATCGAAGCTGAGGAGCTAATGAATGAGCTTCTGCATAAACAAGGCTGCTATCTTTGTGAGATCCTCGTACAAATTTGTATGCTATTTCCAACTCGCTGAATGGTGATTTACAAGTTTTAATATCAATAGGTAAAAATAGTCCGGAATGCCAAGCTAAAAACCAAAGGGTTATAAAGAGGAGTAAAAGGAAAATGGGTATAAGAAATAATATCACATAAGTAGCATCCATTGCAAGAATTTCCCCGGAATCCATAATTTCTTTTTAAGTTCCTTCAGACTCAGATTTTTTTTTAATTAGCATATCATAACAAAGAATAAACCGGTTACAGCTAAAAGTGTAATATCCGCACTGAAATTTAATGAGTGGTAAGGCTTGACGCAGATGTTGAAGGTTGCTGAAAATGAAGAGCCATTCTCACTGTATACAAAAAAAACTGGACAGGGATTTAATGAGTGGAAAAATTTCGCAGATGGCCAAGGTAACTAAAAATAAAGGGCCAATCACAATGCACACGAAAAAGATTCTTATATTCAATTTCACGCATGTGAGCAGAAATTTCATGATAGAGTTTTTCACAGGTATTTCACCTATCAGATTCTCATTCGCACTTTCCGATTCGCACACGCGAATTTTTGCATGCCGTGTGAACGGTCCATAAGGAGATTGGGGCTACCTGATTGATTTACGCCTACTCTTACGAAACGTTTACGCTTACGCTTTCATATTTTCAGTCTTTGAAACTATTTATTTCGGAATTATTCTTTTCCGTATTATTTTTCTGACTTCTTAATGCTTAGACAATATCGAGTAAAGTATATAAAGTAATTTCATAAAAAGGTAATTCGATGTCGGAAAAAAAATAGTCAAAATTAGCGATTCGCGATCGCAACACTCGAATACGCCATCTGGGGAGAGACCGGTTTCATGCTTTTAGCCCTTCTCCTTTCCCTCTCCTCCTCTTTTCAGTTGTATAGGAATGTACTACGATATTTTCCCTTTTCTTAATATTTTTCCTTTTTATTTAATAAGAATATTTTTTAAAATTTCCATAATACTTTTCTTTAGAAGTATGTTTAATGTAGTTTTCAGTTCCATATAGTTTTTCAAGTTAAAAGATTTCAATCTATATGAAAATCAAGAGAGAAACTAACGTACTTCCTTCCTCTATGACTTTCCACACGCTAATGGGGAAAGCATGTGAAGTGTTGCCATAGGAAAAGAGTTCTGCTCTACGCCACCTGCAGCCCATTTCGATCGCCAATTACACTCAAAAGATAGCAACTCTGATTTTGTGGATATTTTCTTGTTTTTAGTTTCAAGATAAGTTTCAAAATCGCAACGCTCGAAAGCACCATCTAGGGAGAAGATCGAATCGATGTCTTGACCCGCTCCTCTTTCGTCTCCTCTTCTTCACAGTTGTATGAAAATGCACTTCGATATTTTCCCCTATCTTAATATTTTTCGGATTTAATTTTTAAAATATTATTTCAAATTTCCATGACGCTTTATTTTAGAACTATTTTTAATGTAGTTTCAGTTCCATTTAGATTCTTAACTCAGAAATTTTTAATCTATTAGAAAATCAAGACAGAACTAATGTACTTCCTTCTTCTATGACTCTCCACACGGTAACGGTTGAAGCAATTGAAATGTTGCATAGGCAGAAAGTTATACATCACCTGCAACCTATTTTGATCGCAAATAAAAAACTTGAAGCAAAAATATGATGTTGGTAAAAATGCTGATATCGGTATTCTGCGGTGTAATTGAATAAACACCATAAGTACTTCAAGAAATATTTCAAGAAATATGACTTAACCGCTATTTTTCTTTCCAATTCAATACTATCGATTCAAAATATTTCAAATTTGTTATACAATTCCTTATATTATTATTATTATTATTTGTTATATTGTTCCTTAATGTTACAATAATAATATTGAGGGGGAAAAAATTGCTAATCTGTAGTTTTAAACAAATAAGGAGTTACGATGGTTTTCTCCGACTGATTATACTTCTGCGCAGCTAATTGTAAATTGAAAATCAACTTAACTCATGCATTACGTCACCCAATTTGCACGTGTCGTGTGCCACAGTTTAATGCAATGACGTGTTTAAAGGTTGTTCTTTTCTTTCATTTATTTATTTTCAAAATTGTTTTAAGACTTCCATTGTATTTATTTTTCTTCTTTTTATTAATTGCGTTACTTTTTTATTTATCATGTAAAGATTTTTATCCTCAAGTTATAAAAAATAAAGAAATATTATGATTATTACGTAATTATGATTAAAAACATTTCATTATTGCAGATCATAAATATTGCATATATTTAGATAAAGTTTCTTAAACAGTTATCAATTAAATCTTTGGGTGTTTCAGATGCGTTTATATTGTTTCAAAACAGTAACTGAGGTTCAGGAATTAAACTTCAAGATTTTTTAGGATTTCATTCCCTCTCCCTTCATCTGGGAGAACAGTGTCTTGTGCAGGAGGTATAACTAGAGTTTTCTTCTTTGCTACAAACGATGTTAAGAAATCAACATTTGTTCAGTTGTCATCTTTGAAAGAATATTTCGAAACTTTTAATCCCTTTTTGGAGCATCATCTTCACCACTTTATGATAAAATGCAATTAAAATGAATAATTTATCAGAATTTCTAACATTTGCTGGTTATTATTAATAATTACATTCCAGATGGATATCTAGACAAATGTTAGTTTCCTGCAAACTTTAGATGACGGTGCCCGCTTTTCGTGAACGCTGCTCATATGTTGCACGAATACTTGTGATAGACAGTTTTAATTACTCTCGATTATTTTTATTTTTTTGCCTTTTAACGCATTGACCTATAAATATATATATATATATATATATACNCTATATATATATATATATATATATATATAGAGAGAGAGAGAGAGAGAGAGAAGAAAGATAGCACGAGCATTAGCACCTACCCTTATAATGCATGAATGTAGGATGAACCAGGTATTAACAGCTTTAACCAATCCGAATATTAATAATAGCCGTTTTCCATACACTAACGTTTTCATTAATCTTTTGAAACGATATTATAATTTACGAACTCAATCTTTCACAAACTATCTATCATCAATAGATATGATGATAGATAAAAATAAATTGAATTTTTAATACTTTTACTTTAAATTTAAACGTAGATAAAAATCCACAATTTGCGTAGAGCAGATTTATTATCACAGCACATAGACACATAAAAATTACGTTTGTGTTGAAGTTTCAGTAAATTATACCCAATTTATTACATTTACCAAACTTCATTCACGCACCAAATTAGGCGTATGAAATATTCGTAAGTATAATGGTCTTCAATATCACAACTCCCTCGTCTGCTCATTAAAATATTTTTTTTTTTAAAAAGTGGAGGAAGACTACACTAACCTAGATAAAGTGTTCCCGTCCCACTGCGGCAACCTGGGTTCGAATCACGGTGTTGGTTGGTTACTTTGTAAAATGCTCCCGATTTGCTCGTACCAAAGAATATATAAGTGAGTATCTCACTTATAAATTCTTTGCTCGTACTACAGTGATGGAACAAAACATCTTCAGTTTCAAATTAAGCAATAAATCAGAGCCTCATTAAGTCGTTCGGCTAACCGTGTGAAGTTTTTCTTCTTCGTGTAAATAAAGATAGGTTTGTTCAAAATTCCTTAAGGGGGTTCAAGTTAGTCGGGATTGGGATTAAATAATAACTATTCAGAGATAAAGACAAAAGTAACTTCTGACCGAAGTACAAATCCGTTTCATAGATCAAATGTTCACGCTGGTAATAAATGAAATGCAACACAATTATCAAAAAATGTAACACTTAAAAATAAAAACCTTTTCGAACCTTTAAAAATTTTATTTAAGATTTTACATCCTTTATTAATAAATTTTTCATTCCTGCTTCAAAAATCTATTTTCATCGAATTGCACCATCACATTTGCATGTTGCACGACATGCTTGATATCGATCAGTTGTCTCATCCTCACATAGCCAGCTGTGCCAAGTGGAGTTCAGCTCACCGCAGTTTGTCCAAAAATCAGCATAATTACAACCATTTGCTAAATGATTATATAAAAATTTAAATTAAGCTTGAACACACCTTTTTAAAATATGCAGATCTTTTACTTCGATTATAAAACAATAATTTTTTTTTCTTTTGTTGTATGCCTGTTTAGGCAGTGGGGTGCCATTGTTTCTGATTTTCAGTGGTGCCATCTATGGCCAGGAATCCGACTTCTGCCACGCCATTCACACGATCACAACCCGTTTATAGGGCGGGTCACATTCACACACAAAGGAGAAAGCACATAGAACACACAGAGAGAGAAAGAAACAAAAACAATAAATGACAAACTATTGTGAAAACTACAGTAATTACTATTAAACTTTAGCTATGCTTCTTCATACAATATATAGTTGATTTTCGACTGTGCTCGTAGATTTGAGCTGTACGACAAAAGCGAATAAACGAATTACATAAATTATCTGGAATTTGTCAGTTGTTTACAGTGTTATAATTCTTCTTCTTACTTTATTTTTGACATTTTGGTGAACATCCGGTTAATTTGTTAATTCAAAAACAAAATAAAGTTGTTATCGACAGAAGGAAGAAAAAAAGAACAGTAGTATGCTTGATTAAATTACTGTAGCAAAAAATTTTTTTGGAATTGCGTACACTGTAAAAAAAAAAAAAATTATGTAACTCAACGCCAAAAAGGGGGGCAACTATTTTACAAAGTGGCCATACATAACTCTTTTCAATATGAAATTAGTTTTGCTCTTTTATCTAATTTCATATTGAACAATTTTCAATTATTCCCTAACAATTTTTTTAGATTAAATTTGCAGTTTATTTTTTGTCAAAATTTACAAATTTAAAAACGTAATACTTAACAAAGGGTTGAGTAAATGCTGTGACTAACTCCTAAGGGAACAAGACGCATCATCAGGATTAAACTTGCATAGGACTCCATTATCTGAAATGTCGTTGCATGCGGATAGGAGCGATTTCCTATTATAACCTGTTCTGAAGAAGGAGTTCTCAATATGAACGAGGTCCTAGTAGCTTATAATGACATTTTTGGTCATGGGTTCCCATGCAATTTTAATCCTAATGAGGAACCTTGCGTCTCCATGAAGTTTTTTGTAACATTTATGTGACTCCTAGTTGCATATTATGTTTTTAAACTTGAAAATTACGACAAAAATTAGAGTAAAAATGTCATATTTAAAACAAAACTGCAGCTTAGAGAGAGACTGATTGCAGATTTGAATTTAAAACTATGGAAGTATCTAAGATCTGTAACAAAAATTTCATGCAACAGAAAACAAAAAAATTGTTCCACAGTTTAATCTATAGAATAACAGATGACTATACTTAGATCATATGCACATTGCGTGCTGATAAGTCTAGTAGCTACGAGCTACAAACGAAATTATATTTCGTAGAAAAGAATGTGATTTCGAATTTTTATTCTTGATTTTCTTGAAAACTTGTAAATGACTGTTCTATCTCATATATCCTAAAGCCCGCAACATTCCTAAGCCTGCATACTTCCGAAGTCCGTATTGATTAAAAAAAATTTTGGACAGGCTTAAATCACACTTAATGAATACTTACTACAAAATTTTTTAAACTTGCATTGTCCTTCACAAATAGAACATGCCGTGCCATTAGTATATGGGTAGTCAAATCGTTCTGGGTGGTTTCCTCTGAAATAATAAATCCAATTTTTGAAGTTATAAGTTAATGAAATACATATTGAAATCTACATCAAAAGCCTTTAATAAAAATATCTTTGATTAAAAACTATAAAATCAACTGGCAAAAAAGTTATAATTCAATACGTTATTTCCTTCTATATGCAGTAGAGGAGAATTACCTGAATCTTACCAGTTTTTCCATTTAAGTTTTTATCAATCAAGGATCACTGATAATAAAATACTATCATTCAACTACCTATATTATTTTTTAGTAACAATATTTACGAAGTATGTACTGAAAATTAATTGTTTCTGCAAGGTTCGCAAGTGGTACGATTTAGGAAACCGGTTGCCTAATTCGTACCACCAGCTCCCTAAATTGTACCACTCTCGAATATTTTAAATAATCATGATTAAATGAAAAATAGACCATATGTAACCCAAAGCGACTGTTTAATAGCATAATAAGAAATTTGATATTAAATTTTTGAACTATTGTAAAATAATATAAGCCTATAAAATGTTAAGGGAATATGGTGTTCTATGCTACAAAGTTCAATAAAGATTTTTATAATATTACACAAAAATTTAAGAAGGTTTAAAAGATATGGAAGCAAATGATCTTAAAAAGAGAAAAATTAAAAAAAATAATAAATAATACTGAAATATTAGTTTTTACAACTACGACTTGGTCACTTTTGGCATGGTCACTTTAAACATAATTGGTATATCCGTGATCCCGAGAAATACATCATGCTATTTATACAAACAAAAAACGCAATTAAATGGTTCAAATCCGAATAAAATACTCAGAACTTTCACGAGAATTCCCCTTAACCAAAAATCTGAGAAATCTTGTCTGCTGCTATGAAAGCAAAAGCAAAACCACTAAGGATGGGGAAGTGAACAAACAACTTAACACGTAGCCACAGCAACAGTCAGTAAGGAAGGCTAAGGCTTTGGATACCTAGGTATAGTTTGTTTACAGAAAAAACTTCCCTTATCACAAAGACAAAGCCCGTCAGCTGCTATGAAAATAAGAAATAGTACATTTCAAAGAGGGGAACCTCTTTCTCACAGAGCCAAAATCTGTTTTAAATATTCACCAAACATCCCTACTTGAAATAATTGAATCTCGTAACCACAGTCACCGCCATTGCTCCAAACGAATGGCGAGGGGAGTTCTTTACATAGACAGACTATATGATCGGATTGACGTTAGGCTGGCGTCTGGAGGAGTTCTCATGGAAGTCAGAAAATACATTATTTCAATAGATACTCACATTGGGCAGTAGTTACATACATAAGTAAAGTAAGGGAATTTTGTGACATTATTTGCCTCACAGTAATTAAAACCACATCCCATTCTATGAGTGCTGTACCAAACCATCTGAGAAAAGAAAAACATCAATGTATATCAATAAACTATGTATATCAATAACAATGTATAACAACGAATATCAACGTATATCAATAATCAGTGTATATCTACAAAAGTATATCAATAAACAAGTACAATTTTGAAAGGATTTCATTCGAATTTTAATTCTATTCAGTTTGTAATTTTCTTTTAAAATAAGTTTCATAAATCAGTAATGATATCACACAGGTTTTTCTTAGGAATAATACTGTCTCGTTCTTGAACACAGATTTAAATTAAGATAGATAAAAATGTTTTTGCAAATAAAAATATTGTATAACTGCTATTTTAAGCTAATTTGAAACAAATACAAATAATTTTTTTAATATGAAGTACTGCTTCAATTAAAGAGCCTTGTACAAAGGAGAAGATATAAAAAATAAACTCAATCTTTTTTCAAAAATAATTTCTTTAATTTATCCATCAGAGTATAACGTTCATTTAAAGAGGTAGGTAATGTTTCCGATAAAAAGAAAATAGCGTCACAATCTTATTTAATTATTAGAATTTATTTAGAAAAAAAAACATTTAGCATGTGTCAAAATATATTATTACATAGAATAATAATTTAGAAAAATATTTGCATTCAAAACTATATCTTTATGATTCTTAAAATCTAAATTGTAGTTCACATAATGAAAAAAAATCACTGAGTTTTAACATATAGGCGCCTACCATTTTTTATTTGGTATTTCTTATTGGTACATGCAATAACAGGCCTTTTTACACGAAGCATAGTTTTTTTTTAAATTTAGGATTCCTAATATTATTTTTATGTTGATAAAAGTACTAGACGAACATTCTACTGCAGGGGTCCCCAACCTTTTTGTACCTAAGAGCAAATTCCAGAAAATCGGTTGAATGGCGGGCACCTTTCATTTTTTCAAGATGAATTTATAGTTGGTAGATATAGGTAATAATGCACACACTACATATAGCGCATACAAAATTTAATTTTAAAAATTAATTGAATATAATTAGTATTAATATTCTTGTGTAAAATAAATGATTACTGAATTGCTTGCAAAACATACGAAGTATAAAAATTATTTATAAAATACAGTCAATGTGATCTTTGTCATTGCATTTCACTGTCCATCGTTTCTTAATTGCGAGAACATGAGGAAATTCCTACTTGCAAGCAATCGTCAAGGTGTTCATCTGTAAATCGGGATCTATATTTTGAATTCATTGTCGAAAACAATGATTCCCACAAGTATGTGAAACCACAAAACTACTTATATGTTGCTCTTTTTAAGAATGGAAAATTATTTCTGTCAACTATATTCCAGAATTTCTCATCTGATATAATCGTTTTGAGGATGATTTCATTCTGAAGATCCAAAATTTCCATCTGCACTTCTTCTCGCCTAACTTGAAGACTAACTTTCTTGCTATAAGTTTGTTTTTTCCCTGCAGCTCCAAGTTTAATTTATTTAGTTTTTCAATTATGTCTGTTACGAAAGACAAATCTGCTAGCCAAAGAGGATCTGTTAGATCTAAAAATACTTGATTTTTGGCTTCAAGATAATTTTTTATTTCTTCGATTAAATGTATAAATCTATCAAGTACTTTGCCTTTACCGAGCCAGCAGCGTACTTCAGAATGTAAAATGAAGTCAGCATCATCAGGATTTTGTAACAGGGCCTAGAAAAGTCGAAGTTGCAAAGGTGCTGCTAGAATTAAGTTAACTATTTCAGTAATAATTTTCATTACGTGTAGCAATTGTAGTAATTTACAGCATTCATTTTTGCATATCATTTTATGGAAAAATGGAAAACTTAAATATTGTATTTTATCGTTGGGCACAAGCAGCGGGCTCACCTAGACCGATCGACGTGCGCCATGGTGCCCGCGGGCATAGGGTTGGGGATCCCTGTGTATCATTATTAAAATAATTCTGATTTAATTAAATTACATTTATTAAACTTTATTCTGCACGGAAGACAAGGCAAATACTTATATAATTATAAACTTTACAGTTAAAACTAGAGTCTAAAATTAATTTCTTATCAAAATTTTTATATATTGTGAGAAAACCCATTTTTCAGAAAAAAAGAAAGACGGAAATGAAAAATACTTCTTAAATTATTATCTAAAGTTTAACTTGGACAAATCTAACATTTTCTCTTTGCTTATTTTATAAAAAAAATTAATGAGTGAAAGAAAAATTCTTCAAAAAAAAAAAAGCGTGTTTGCGTGTTCTTGGAGGTTGGTTAAAAGAAAAATATCTGTGGAAAGACATATTATTTAAACGTTATTTTTATTATTATTATTATTATTAATATATTTTTTTTGCATTAAGGTTTGGGAGTTATTTTTAAGTGCGAATCACACTTTATAATATTTTAATAATAATGTAAGATTAACACTTTATCCATAATGAAAAATATATGGCTTATGTATGAATTTTTCTTAAAAAAATGCCATAAATGTCTTGTACAATTTTCAGAATGTAAGCAATCAGGTTAAAAAAAAGAACATTGATTTTTCATAACATTTTATGGAAAAAAGTTTGTTTGTTTGAGAAAAAAAAAGAAAATCACATTTATAAGTCAGAAAAATGTTAAGTTATATAAATTTAAAATAAGCTTTTAGATAAAATCACTATTGCATGTTAGAAAAAGCACTGCACCAGTAAATTTTGACGAGAAATACTAATTCCAAAACAGAAAAAAATTACGTTTACTATATTCTTAAGCCAAAAAACTGTGCCTGAATTGTTCAAAAAATGGGTGCAAGCATTTGCATATTTTTCATTCTTTTGATAGGAATTAGTTTGAAAGAAAACAATAAAGTCTGAATAATAACATTGGGGGACAATTGTTTTTTTTTTCTTTTTCTGTTGCATGTGATTTTTTTAACAGATTTGTAATGCTTTCGCATCACTGATTTCAAATTTGCAATAGGTTTCTTTATCTTTTAATTACAGCTTTTTCTTCTTAAATGACATTTTATATCTATTTTTTCTCGAGATGTGCAAGTTAAAGAAAGTATGTATAACAGGAGGTGGTGAAGGTTGCGATAAATTCTGGACCAGTTAGGTTACATCATTAGAATTAAAACTGCATTAGAACCCGTTCCCGGAAATGTCTTTATACGCCGCTAGGGTCTCTTTCCAATTATTAACTGTCTCCTTATGTGCTTCTGAACATCTACTTTTATTTAACTACATTATCTTAATTTTATGTTTTCTCGTAATTATTGGTGAAAATTACATTAAAAAAAAGTTCAGTATCACACTGTTAGAAATTTCTTGGAAAAATAAATAAATAACATTTTATTTAATTGTTATTTTACCGTATTCAAATATTCAAACAAAACAGTCAAATTACCTTAAATACAATGGTAATCAAACTGCTAACTGCGAGAAAAACCATTCATTAACAGCATTCACCCAATACTGTTAAACAACTAGAATTTAATCGCACCAACTAAGTCCACCTAATAAAGCCACTTACAACTGCGTACGTGTTATAGCCGAGAGGGCTAATCTGTCAGTCTCATGAACGACAGAACTGGGGTTTGATTCCCAGCGTTGACATCACAATATTTCCTCCATTCCCTTCAAAAGCTGAAGAGTTTCCAGTGTTAAGCATTCCTCAATTTGTACTTGCACTTTCAAACGAAAAGACAATTATCTAACGAATAGACCAGCTCCGATGTCCAGTTAACTTCCTTTTTTATGGGTTTGAAACCATGCTAGTTGTAAATGGTTAAAAAAACATACAATTTTGTATTCATGGTTTTATAACTATACTAGTTGTAAATAGTTTTTAAACAGTAAAGGTAAAAAATTTTCTTTACTGTAAACTTTACGGTTAATCGGATGAACAGACTGCTGCTAGTTATTTTACATTAATTTTAAAATGAAAATTTTAACAGTGTAACTTTTTTTATTGTTACTCATCTTATTTTTACCTTTGTAATTTTTTTAACTAAAGGCAAATGGAGTTTTTTCATTATTATGTAAATCTTTCAATTTTTGTTCAATCTTTCCATCTTAGTATTATTAATTTAAAGTAAAATCATTTGTTTCTGGAAAAGTAACCGACTTTCACTGATGTTCGATGTGCTGACTTTTACTGATGTTCGAAAAATTTAAAAGATTGAAACTCTTCACACAACCTAGTGTTCAAACATTATGGTCTAAACAGTATCCATTCTAGCTTCATATTCTGTTACTCTTGAAAAAACTAACTTCTGTCCTCCGAATAATTGAGTTTTAAACTTTTTTCAATATGATGATATTCGACACCCTGAAATTTAAAATTAATTTTTTCAAGGAATATGGAAAACAATTTTACATCAAATTATGTTTAAATCCTCAAGGTCCTGAGGTTCTAAGAAGGTGTTCCACGAAAAGATTACTGAGAGATTCCTATTTTGCCCGTAGAAATTTTTAAACCTGTGACTATGTTTGTATCCAACCAGTGAGCTATAAGTATTATAAAATATTATTTAATGTTTCAGTTGTAATTATGAAATGATTTAAGTTGTTGTTGTTGTTGTTAATTTACGTCGCACTAGAGCTGCACAATGGGCTATTGTCGACGGTCTGGGAAACATCCCGGAGGATGATCCGAAGACATGCCATCACAATTTTGATCCTCTGTGGAGGGGATGGCAGCCCCGCTTCGGTAGCCCGACGACCTGCGCGTGAAGTCGAACACTTTACGGTAGCACACTTTTAATGAGGACCAATACTGCACATCCTCGGTCCCTACGTAGACTGATCCAATTGGTCACCCACCCGCACACTGACCGTAACCAGTGATGCTTGACTTCGGTGATCTGCTGGGAACCGTGTCTTAACGATCAGTCCACTGCGGGACTTCTACGCCTCGGAATGAACTGGTGAGAGATTGTTTTTGTTCAGTTTTGCAACGCTGATATTCATCAAGAGAAAAGAAAATTCGCCGTTAAATATGTATGCTTTTAATTTTAATAAAGCATACATATGAAGCTTATTTTAAGTTACAAATCTCTGAGAATGATTTAATTTCTATCCATTTCCGTCCTGTTAAGCCTAGTTCGAATTCATTTTAATATTCTTTCTGTGCTACGTGTATGTTCGATTTACAAATTAATTTTATTTTAAGAATTATTGTATAAAAGCATTCTAAATTTATGGCTATTACTTTACATTGTATTGTAAAAATAACTTTATTGACTCTTATGTGCATCTTATTCTACTGTAATTATTAGATTTTAGATCAAGTAGTGTAAAAGAACATTAGTGAAACACTACATTAAAGAGCTATGCATGATGGTTCGCTACACCACTTTGCTCTAGAGTAGTTGCCATCACGTTTAGCGTTGAGATACACTAAAATGTTTTATAGCATAACTAAGTTCAATAGAATACATTTGAATGAATAAATTGAAATAAAAATATTCAAAAATAGAAATAAATTAATAAGTAAGGAAATTTTGTTTATATAATTCTCCATAGGTTGGAGAAACCTTGGTTACCTTGGAGAAAATTGACTCTCTTTTTTCGTCTGAATAGCACCTTTAATGTAATGATCCTTAATGAAATGGAGTGAAAATTAAATTCTGAAAATTAGGAAATTGACAAAATTTACGTACTTGCGTGTAATGTCCAACAACATTTGGATCATTTACATCTTCTCCATAAGTAAAATTTAGTTTTTCTAGGAACCACGCTTTGGCAGCAAAAAACCAAGGAACTTGAACATTTGCTACAAAGATGTTCTGTCCGCAAGAGCCAAAATCTGAGTAAATATGAGACAGCTTTCACAAACAAATAAATGTCACATAGCTGAATTAGATATTTAAGAAAATATTTTCTTCTGTCAATTAATAATTTATGAGTAGGCGAAAAAATACGGGTTATGATAGAAGTTATCTTTTTTTGATATATTTACAGATCAGAATCAAATAAATTTTAACTACAGAATTCTAGATCTAAAAATCTATGTAGGTAAGGTAAAGATATACATGATGTTTCGTAATGACTATTCTTAATGTAAATAAATGTTTAGAATTATTGTGACGAAAGAAACCAGGAAAGTATATGCATAGGGGATCACAAAAACAAAACAAAAAAATGTAAACATTATCGAAATATAACGAATCAATATTGAGGAAAATGGTATTAAAATCCCCAAAATAAGTTTGATTGCGGGCTGATAAGTATTTTTCCACTTCTCATAGTTTCACTGGCAATCAAACTAGTTTTGAGAATTTTTTTAACACCTTTCTATCTCAATAGTGATTTGTAAGATATTGATACGTTTTTTTTTCGTCTCTAAAATAATTTTAGTGAATACTTTCTCTATTTCGTTTTTGACGGTGATTTTATAAATATATATGAAGCGATAGTGGTTACGGAACGTTCGTACATGCTTCGATTTAAGTTATAGATCCGGGTATTGTACTTTATAGTATCCGATAATTATTTGTAATAGCATCACGTCTCTTGGTCAATGTGATAGATAATATAATAATCACATGAAATGGTAATTATATTATAAATGATTATCAATGAAGTTTGGTAATAAGTTGAAATTATTAATAAGATAATAGGTAATGGATAATTATTAAAGATATCGATAATTAAATTAGTTAAATTAATAATCGATAATATCGAAAATTATTAAATGAATTATCTAAAAATAACCAAGGAGTTACTAATGAATAACTGACCGAGAACTATACTAATTCTAGTTATTAATGATACTTATCAAACGTGTACTTATCAGCTTATATTCGTGACTGTTAATATAATGGTTAGTTAATGAAATAAGAAGACTTTCATTTTCACAGGTTAGTCATTATTAATAATAAGTGGCGGTTTACTTTTAATGATGCTGTAATATAGAACGCGCGCTCGCCAAAAAAAAAAGAAGAAAAAAAAAAAAAAAAAAAAAAAACTAAAAAAAANGCGCGCTCGCCAAAAAAAAAAAAAAAAAAAAAAAAAAAAAAAGAAAAAGCTGATTACTTTGAATAATTTTTTATCTAATGATTGGATCCCCACGTTCTCAATCTTAATGGATCGAGGGGTTGACCTCAAATTTGACAATTAATAAGTGCAGACTATATTTTAAGTTACGAAATCAGACGCAAAAACGGACTTGCTCTGAATAAACATACCTTTCTTTCGATGGTTTCGGATTTCTGACACCGAAAATATAGGAGGTAGCCACAACATAGGAAATATGGTCCCAATTGTTTGTTCAAGCGAGAGTTCTAAAGTTTCGACTCCTTAATGTTAATTTTACTTTTATCGTATTTCGCTGTATCTCGAAAACTTTTTAAACAAATAGAAAAATTTTTACACGTGATTCTAAAATTCCTTTATCCAAATATAATTCTCTGAAAAATATAATTTTTAGTTTTTATTTGTTATTTTTTTATTTATTAATGGTTGAAAAAATTTTGACTAGTAAGTTACATAATTTTTCAGAATATAATTTTAAAGAATATAATTTTACAAGGCAAAATGCAAAATTTGAGCGAAATTGGTCGAATAATTTCTGAGAAATTGAATTTCAAAATTCGATTTCTCATTACTATTCGGCGAATTTTGCTTAAATTTTGTATTTTGCAATGTGAAATTACATTCTTTAAAATGATGTAAATAATTTTATACCTTACAATTTAAAATATTTTCGATCATTCTTTAATAAAATAACAAAAAATAATAAATATTTACTAAGCGTTATTTTTGCATTGAGTCATCTTTGGATAAACGAATTTGATAATTGAGTGCAAAAAATTTTCAATTCACTTAATTAGTTGAGATATAGAGAAATTCGAAGAAGTAAAATTAACATTAAAGAATCCAAACTTTGGAGCGTTCTCCCTACTTAACTATGGGGACCATATTTTTCTGATTGCTGCTACCCCCTATATTTTGGAGATCAGAAATCAGAGTCCTCCGTAAAAAAAAGGTATGTTTATTCAAAGAAACTACGTTTTTGTGTCTAATTTCGTAACTTAAAGTATCGTATGCAATTATTAATTAGGATATTAGAGGTCACACCCTCGAGCCATTAAGATTGAGTTCTAGAACGTGAAAATCCGATCATTAGATCAAAAGTTATTCAGGGTAATCAGTTTTTTTTTCTCCTCTCACTGCACTAGTTTCATTAGACTTGATGGAGATTTGGATGGTATTTCTATTGCACATAGTGTTTTATTACACCTTTCTATTTATTTTAGTATTTTTGTTAAGACTTATTTGAGTACGATATGTCATTGTTGGACTACTGGAGTTATAATTTGCGAAATCAGACAGTCCGTAATTTGTAATTTTGAAGCCAACCTGCAAGGGAACATTTTTTCCATTGGGACAAACGTGGAGTACTTCTTGCATGAAAATATCCTCATTTACGTTGCATAGAGAGGACAACCACGAAAACCTCTCACGGTTAGCCCAACGGCATGGGGATTCTAACCCATGATCCGTCAACCACTGAGTATATTTTGCGTGCCGGGGGCTGAATTCTCATCAATAGCCACCACTGGGATTCGAACCTGGGGCACATTCATTGGGAGATTGAGCCGCCATGGCCCTAATCCGGACATTTAAAAATATCAGCGATAATTAGCATAAAATGACGAAACTTTTTTATTTAACAATTTTAGAAGCGTTACGCCATTTTGACGCAACGGAGTGCTGAATTTATTTCTTAAAACTCATTAAGGCCAAGAACAGGTCAGTAATTTTCTTAAAATAAAATATTTAACGATAAATTATGTAAATTTTAAGATATGCAAATACGCCTTAAATTAAAATGATTTCAAATTAATTATGTTAAAAATAAAGGGGGGGGGGAAGCATACTGGCAAATATTCAGGTTTTGTGGATCCACACCTCTTGTAACTTTTGTAATTTTTTTTTTACTCCCTTTCCTTTTGCAAAAAAGGAAATGTTATGGACGATATTTAAGTAGAGCTGATAAACTAAACCCCTTAATTTATTCAAAAGCCATTTTTAATGTAACTATGCATTATTAGAAAATCTTTTATGCATACTATCATGTTAATACCTATGTTGTTACTTACATAAGTAAATTTTCATGATATTTCAGAATGTATTTTTGTATAGAACCTTAATTTCAATAAGGAAGTTTGTATGTTTTTGACTAAATTAGAACTTATTTAACACTGGCAAAAAGCGTAAATATTTTAACTTATTTAACAGCGATGAATTTTTTACCTTCCGTCCATCGCCCAGTGACGTTGTCATGTAAAAGTAGTTGGCAAGACTCAGCCCAGCGCTGTGCATCTTCTGCTGCTTCTTCATGCCAGGACTTGTTTAAGAAAAAAAAAGAATGAGTTCATTTTTCAGCAAAGAGAAATAGAGGTGCATACAGTGGTTTATACCAGAGTTGCCCATAATATAACACTTGAACCAAAACCTTTCCAGAAGCATCACTGACATGCTATGTATCTAGATATTCTTGACAGCTTACAACGTGAATAAATTTTACGAAATATATTAATCAAAAGAAACACAATAACATACATCGAAGAGCCCTTACATTATGACCACCCTGCTAATAACATATAGGACCACCTTTAGCCCTCAAAACTGCTAGCATCCGCAGTGACATTGATTCCAAAAGGGGCTGATAGGTAGTCTGAGGTATCTGGTACCAAGCGCTCATCAACTGGTCTTGCAATTCCCTCACATTGCGAGGGGGTAGCGTGGCAGTACGAATTTGGTTTTCCAAGTAGGACCACAAATGCTCTATTGGATTAAGATCAGGTGCATTTGGGGGCCAAGACATGACTTGAAAGTCACTGGAATGTTCCTCGAACCAATCCATGACGATTCGACCCTTATGATACGGTGCATTATCATATTGGTAAACACCATCCCCCGCATGAAAAACTGTTGCCATGAATGGGTGAACCTGGTCTGCAACTATGTTCATGTAGCTTACAGCCGTCAGGGATTGTTCTATGGGGATTATGGGTCCTAATGTGCCCCATGAAAACATTGTTCCAGGGTGAGCCCATTGTTACAGATGGAGGGTGGTCATAATGTAATGGCTCTTCAGTGTAAGTTGACCTAAATTTAAGGAAGGGTTGCAAAATTTATAGGAGCAAAACATAAAGTAGAGAGAAGTAGACATAACATCCGGAAAGTTAAGTCATACCCTCACAGAAGCTGCCATATTCCGTGGTTCCTAGGCCAGGATCGAACCCTTCCCCGCAACCATAATTGAAAGAGTTATTTTTAATTCTAATAAAACAATTTAACGGTTCTAAAACCTTATGAATAAGTGAGATAAAAAGTTTTTTCTTCTTAACTGCAACATCAGTTTGGTAATGACCCAGTTGATAATCATTAAATACAATTCATCAGAACAGTCATTCAAATATATTTGAAATGCACACATACTTTTTTTTAAAAAAATTGAACTGTTGAACAATGTGTTCAATAACTGTTAACGAAAACTATCCTTTTCTCAGGTAGTAGTATTGTGTTTTAATTAATTTCTTTTTTTCTTTAGTCTGATTAAATGTAAGAGCATTGAAGTTTTTTTTTTTTTTGAAGTGAAGTTTTGCCGTAAGAATTTTTTTCTTTACTCTTAACTGCGATTTCCAGTAAGTTTGCGAAAATTATCAACCCAATTTAGGTGCCACAGCTATTCCTCTAACATATGGGGTATTCCCTCTGATTCTACAATGATGTCAGTAACTGTCTCTGTAATCCGGCAGATTAATAGACATGAAAGACATAGACTTGCTTCTTCACGAAGCCTAAAAGGCTTGAGATCAGATGAGCTTGGGGGTTAACTGGGAAAACTTTTGTATTATTTTATGTCTTGCTTGAACCTATTTAACAATACTTTAGAAAAATTTAATTGAAAAAAGTAACTGCCATCGCTCCTTCATCTCCGATATTTCAGAAAGCTATTGGATAGAAGTATATGAAATTGTTGACATTTATAGAAAACTGATTAAGAAACATTTTTATATGACAATGATGCTGATGCGATCTCAGAGTCCGCTTTATGTCAAAGCTGATTTTTTTCTTTATTTACATTGTTTAGTTTGGCGATGTATGGAAACCTACGGCGATATATGACTGATATCAGGAAAATTAGAATTTATTGCTGTAGCATACTCTTATAACTAAAGATAAGCACTACCTCTCACATTTCTTTAAATTTCGAATTGGTTTTGAAATTATAAAATATTTTACTTTCGTTCTTTTTACGTTTTTTTTTTTAGGATTTTCCGTTACAGAGGAAAAACTAGTAAATTATAGTTTTTGCAGCCACAACTTTTATGTCTGGATATGAAAAATCTTAGCCATTTATTTTAGATTTCGAATTAGTTTTAAAGTTATTATATTTCGTGAAGAATGGAACATTATTATTATAGCAAACTGCACAAGGAGTTATGAGGGTTTCTAAACGAAAACTAGCACTGGCATAGCATCCGATATATTTTAAATAAAGTACAAAAGAATTTAAATTATAAAACGCTAATCTGATTAAGATTTATGGAAAATGATTAAGCAAATTGATCTGAAAAGAACTGCGCAAGAATTTTCGGGAGTTGGCGAGTGACTGCGAGCATGAAGCGCAGCCCCTAGAAGTGTTTAAAATTACCATTTCCAGCATATCAGCTGCAGGTGGATCAACCTTAGATCGAAAAAAATTGTGCGCTAGCAGTATTTTCCTTTTCGTTGAATTGTTGGTAGGGTCCAACTCAGATGGGGGAATAGCTGTTCCATACAATTTAGGACCTATAATGTAGTAAAGAAATATAACAATTGAAAAAAAATCTGCTTTGCAATATAGAGTAAATAAAATAAATGTTCTGTATTTCGTCAATAATTTAAATTAAAAAAAGAAATTGTTATAATATTTTAGATAGTTTACAATACATTTTTAGAAATGAATAAATAAGAAGTTTGATTTTTGCTCAGTAAAAAAATTATAATAAATTAAGGTTTTTTTCAGCTTGAGTTCTTTTTAGGAACTTAAAAGTTTATTAATAAACTTGAAAAAAAAATCAAAATAGAAAAACTAAATTAAGTACCATAGAAGTTGGAACTTACGAGAAAGCTTTGGAATCGCCACACATATTGTCACCAGAATCAAAATAAAGCCAAGTTCTTCAATTCTCATATTTTCTTCCTCTGCAGAGAATTTTTAAAAATTTTGATTTTTCAATGAAGCAAGCTGATATAAATAATTATGCTAGGTAGTTACAATGAAACTTGTTCGAATCAGAGTAATCTGTTATTTTAAATAAAATGCAGATTGATTCAAAATTTTGTTGAAAAAGTTGGTTAAAGTTATGAAAGGTAAAGATAACTAATTTAGTGACTTATAATTTTAAAAAAAATCGGTTTTTGAATAGAATTTAATGCAGAACGTTTTTCTGTAGGGGTAATTGTAATATTACTATCATATGATATCTTGGTAAGTATACAGCTCGTGACAGTGGGGTATAATTTTGCATAAAAATATAAACTAGCTCTCGGGGCAATTTTTTTAACATGATTTTCAACATCTCTCTTTAAACATATAATTAAAAAAATTTTCAAATCAAGTTGAAACGATATTTTTAACATTAGTGTTGGCTCAGACAAAGAGAATAAAATGAAACACACTGTAAAGAAATACCTGATAAAAATGCGATAAAAAGTACTGACACCTAAAATGCAGCATTTGTAAACTAGACTTTACTGTAAAATTAATTTTGAGCTTAAAATTTAATACTTTGACAATAATCTTTTCTGTGATACTTTTTACAGTAATATTTATAAAATTAAAGTAACTCAGTGATCTTACAGGCAATATTACAGTAAAAATTACGGTACTTTAGATTTTTTGTGCCTTAAAATGTTACGGTAAAAAATGGATTTAACATAGTACAGGTACTTTTTACCGTTATGTGATCCAAAATTTTTTTTACAGTTTTCCCGTTATCATCAGAATACCTTCAGTAGGAAAAAATATCTGAAAAGGTGAAAATTTCTAATATACTTTTTTCTTCATCCCTGCCCAGCGCTTCTGTTTTACATGCTAAACATATAATTTAAACTCTATTTCAAATTTTTTGTTGTGTGGACTACTTTTCGTTAAAAAAAAAAAAGCAGATATTAAAATTGAAAAATGTGGAAATTTTTTTCTTTAACTTTTTCCGTGAGAGCTGTAAAATTATTTTTAACCCTATTCTTGAGCGTATGTTGAGAGTTGAATATCAAATATAAAAATTTTATATTCACTTCTCTCAAAAACTACGCTAACTCTTATATATCGAAATAATTTCATAATAACCATATATTATTTACTATACCTTACAAAACTATTTATCTTAGTGTAGCCAAGCTTCATTAAATTTTTTCTCATTTGATAGTTGTAATAAATACATACTTCAAATCTTGTTGTTTTAATCTTCATTTTCACCAAAACGAGTTTTTTTTTTTTCTTTTTTTTTTTTAAATTTTTGGGGCAACTCGATAATTAATATTTATGAAAAATTATGACTGTAACTTTTTTAAATATTTGAGGCTATATACTGAATTAAAAAATTCATATCTAAAATTTTTTAAGTCCAGATGGAATGGAGAGCTTTAAAAAACAATTTTTAATTAGCTTATTTTTTATCGCCTTATCATAATTACTGATGCTTTCGGAATATTTTCTTTATTTCATTCTTATTTTTTGCATTAAATAACAATAAAATATATTGTAGTCAGATGTCAAAATTTAAAGACAAATTGCAAATTTCCTTTATGACAATCAATTTGAGGTATTTGACGATAATTTCGATAGAAATATAGACTAACAAGTTTGGAATAGGAAATATTGGCTAATCACAAAAATTAATTGAAACAAATAATTTCTAACACTATTGAACTTACTTAAATGTAAATCAAACTTTCTAGTGACTAATGCACAGGAATAGAAAAGTATTAATATGAGTGAAGATATTATCCTTAATGTAAATTACTTTGACTAGAGAAGAGAAATTTTATCCGCGACGAAATGGGAGTTGCGATGCGAAAAAAAGATCATTGAACTCAAGCAACTGTAATACTAGAAACATTCGAATTAATTTTGTAAACATTTCAGCAAGCACTGCCTTAATTAAGAAATGTTAAATTTAATACTTATTAATCAATTAGCAATGCAAACTATTAAGAAAAAAATCTTATATCGGATTTTGCATACACTAAAATAAAGTTAATCAGCTTATTACTTAAATGACATATATATATATATATATAAGTATATGACATATATATGACATATATATGTAATATATACCCATTGCAAAGTTAAAAGTATAACATTACACTTATGCATATTGCACATGTCAAATGCTGTACTTTTATTCAAAAATCAAGTTGAATTTAGACAATAAGAAAAATCATTGATTCAACAGTTGAAAAATTGTGAAATATTTAGAAAATATTGTGTCCGATGCATTTTAATACAATTAATATCTTGTTTTGAACATTATAACTACGAATTATAGTTATATAAAGATAACTTATATACTTACTACATCATTTCAAACATCGCTTAATTGTTTAAGTAAAAAATACATCAAAAAGCAACTTTTACCTTTTTGATAAGAATAATTTGTATTTGTACCAGTACAATGAATTTTCTTATTTTTATTAACATACAATTACGTTGGTANTTCACCTATTCATGGCAACAGTTTTTCCTGCGGGGGATGGTGTTTACCAACAGGATAATGCACCATGTCATAAGCGTCGAATCGTCGAGGAGCATTCCAGTGACTTTCAAGTCATATCTTGGCCCCCAAATTCACCTGACCTTAATGCAATAGAGCATTTGTGGTCCTACTAGGAAAACCAAATTCGTGCTGCCACGCTACCCCCTCGCAATGTGAGGGAATTGCAGGACCAGTTGGTGAGCGCTTGGTACCAGATACCTCAGACTACCTATAAGCACCTTGTGGAATCAATGCCACGGCGGGTCTGAGCAGTTCTGAGGGCTAAAGGTGGTCCTATATGTTATTAGCAGGGTGGTCATAATGTAATGGCTCTTCATTGTATGTTATTGTGTTTCTTTCGTTTAATATATTTCGTAAAATTTATTCACGTTGTAAGCTGTCAAGAATATCTAGATACATAGCATGTCAGTGATGCTTCTGGAAAGGTTTTGGTTCAAGTGTTATATTATGGGCAACTCTGGTATAAACCACTATAAGCCCCTCACACACCTGCTACACACCTCACTTTAGAGCTTCAAAGCTATGATAAGAGCAGCAAGTAAATCTTTCTTTTATATATTTTTTAAAATATTTTTTTAATATTTCTTTTTTAAATTTTTTTAAAATATTTTCTTATATATTTTTTTTAATATTTTTTTACTTTCTAAAATAATAGAAATATTCCCGAGTAACATGAAGACCTTGGGACGAGCTTTCAAATTATATATCTTGGTGAGGTAAATAATTCAAGGATTAAAAAAATATTAATTTTCTCACCCTCATATGCACATAGTTTACTAATACTACTTTAACTTTTAAACTGTTGGTGTAAAAATTTTAAATACATTAAATAATTTTACGAAAAAGTTTCGAACCGGCCAGAAGAGAGACGTTTAGGTAATTTTAATTTTTTTTAATTAAACTGTCAAAGGATATCGTTCTCATATCCATGGGAATGCATTCGAATAGTCATGACTTAAAATTTTGAAAAGTAACACTTTTCTACCTTAAATCAATATTTTAATATTTTGTTTGCCGCGATACTCTTTTGGTTTGGGAGAATCACCCTCATATATATTTATGCAATGTATTTCTTAAGAATTCTAAATATTTCTACATTCTGTTTATTATCAATTGACATATTTCTAAAATGGAATGGTCATGACTTAAAATTTCAAAAAGTAACACTTTTCTACCTTAAATCAATATTTTAATATTTTGTTTGCCGCGATACTCTTTTGGTTTTTGGTTTGGGAGAATCACCCTCATATATATTTATGCAATGTATTTCTTAACAATTCTAAATATTTCTACATTCTGTTTATTATCAATTGACATATTTCTAAAATTCAATTACTGGCATTTCCAAATATAATTAATAATTCTAATTAATAATAATATAATTATTAAGTAATAATTCTAAAAAATTAATAATTCTGAACAATTCTAAATATATTTCCATATTTTGTTTATTATCAATTGGCATATTTCTAAGAATTTATTACTGGCATTTCTAACTATTATAATTAACAATTAATAATTGTAAACAATAATACAATTAATAAGTAATAATTCTAAAAAATTAAAAATTCTTAACAATTCTAAATATTTCTATATTCTGTTTATTATCAATTGACATATTTCTAAAATTTAATTACTGGCATTTCTAAATATAATTAATAATTCTAATTAATAATTAATAATTCTAATTAATAATTAATAATTCAAATAATAATATAATTAATAAGTAATAATTCTAAAAAATTAATGATTCTTAACAATTCTAAATATTTCTATATTCTGTTTAGTATCAATTGACATATTTCTAAAATTTAATTACTGGCATTTCTAAATATAATTAATAATTCTAATTAATAATTAATAATTCTAATTAATAATTAATAATTCAAATAATAATATAATTAATAAGTAATAATTCTAAAAAATTAATGATTCTTAACAATTCTAAATATTTCTATATTCTGTTTAGTATCAATTGACATATTTCTAAAATTTAATTACTGGCATTTCTAAATATAATTAATAATTCTAATTAATAATTAATAATTCTAATTAATAATTAATAATTCAANGAAAGTAACTATGAACTGAAAAGGAGGTGACTGCAAGCAATATACTACTTGATTTCGAAAGCTGGTATCTAGAGCAACGTAGGAAAAATGTGTTATCAAAATGCTCCGATGGAAAAGCAAGAAAGAAGAACAGTTTCAGTTGTCACATTACAGCAATTTTACTTATAAGAGCACTTCACCTGGTGAAGTTAAAGCATCCTCTTTCATTGATGGTTTATGCAGATATCAAAAAGGTTTTTACAATATAAAGAAAAGAAGATTTTGTCTTCTAAATAATAATATAATTAATAAGTAATAATTCTAAAAAATTAATAATTCTTAACAATTCTAAATCTTTCGACATTCTGCTTATTATCAATTGACATATTTCTAAAATTTAATTATTGGCATTTCTAAATATAATTAATAATTCTAATTAATTATTAATAATTCTAATTAGTAATTAATAATTCTACATAATAATAATATAATTAATAAGTAATAATTCTAAAAAATTTATAATTCTTAGCAATTCTAAATATTTCTATATTCTGTTTATTATCAATTGACATATTTCTAAAATTTAATTATTGGCATTTTTAGAAATTTTTCTCAACAAACTTACATGTCCCTACATATTTATTATCAATCTTATGGATTATGGACAATTTGTTTATGCATGTTTTCAATGCAAAACCTTTCTTATAATACCTCATGAGTCCACTGAAAACTCATAAATTTCTAAACAGAACATAATTCTGCTGATTTACCAAAATTATATAAAATTTTTGAAAATTGCAATATAATACAAGGTAATTGAAATATGAATTAGTACTTATGCTTCATATCAGCAATCATTTACTTTATTAGTGTCATGAGTCATTAATAAACATATAATCATAAATTTTTCCTTTATATACTTCTTCATAATAATGTGTAATTTAGTGATCAATCTGATGGCTGACTTCAAAATCTATTTTCTTTATGGGAGAAAGTCACGAAAAGCGATGAGGGGAGGGGGAGAAACATCGCATAATTCATAGAAATGTCACTGACACAAAAACGTGTTTTAGCGTTTATTACATTTTGACTAAAATTGTATATAATAAAATAAGAAAAATTACAAAACATGAGATATTTTTCTTCCATTATGTTCATTTTTTTTATTTGTTTGAAATGTGAGCTATTTTTCGCCAAAATGGTGACCATAATTATCAATGATATAGATGATAGAAAGAAATCGATTATATATTTTATAGGGTGTTTTAAAAAACACCCTATATATGACCACGTTGAGTATATATTTCTGAAATCCTTGTAAAAAAGTAATTTTAAAAAGTATTCGCTTTGAGAGTCGCAAAAGAATATTTAAGTTAAAAAATAATAAAAGCACTTTTGAAATAATGATTCATTCATAACTGATTCTAATGATTCATAACTGAGAAAGGTAGGACAGGAAGCATCAAAATCTATTTTATTGCCAAACGAAACAGTGAGGAGTAATTAGAAACACTTTGAATTTTCATCAAGCAATCAAACTGATTTTTTGGATTCTGTCTTTCTCATTAGTGATTCAGTAGGTTCCAATATTGTTTTTTTCCTCACTTAAATATTAACTTGTTACGTCTTAGGTGTTTACTTTTCTATTTATTTCTTGAAAATAATTTTATAAAGGTTAAAATCCCAGCAATACGAATTCTGTACACGGCTCGCACTGACCCCATTTTTGACGTAAAATATCCTCAGTGGCAGACAAAAGTTAGAATCTCCATGCCGCCGGACTAACCGTGGGAGGGTTTCGTGGTTTTCCTCTCCATATAACGGAAACATGGGTTAGTTCCATCAAAAGGTCTTCCATGAAGAATAATTTATCCGGATGCGTGATCAAGGAGCTTCCTCGTCTTCTGGATTGGGATCAAAATTACAAGGCTTTAGTGTTAAACAATAATTGTCGTAAACTCAGAAATGAATCGGCTGTTCAACGGTAGTTATAAAATAAATTATAACAAAAATATTTGTGAAAAATGATCTAATCGCTTAAAAATATGACATATTACATACGTAAGTGAAAGAAAAAAGATAAGTATATACATAAATTAAAAGATAATGAATATTTAAAGAAATAAATATAAATTATTTACATAATTGAATCGATGAGTCCAAAGACCAGTCATCTCCACTTTTTTTTCTTCAAAATTGAGATTCTTGCAATTTTAACTAACG